CCTACCACCCAGTCTGCCATCCTCCCTGGAGCGGCTTCACCTGCAGGTACCCTGCCCACCACACACACACATGCCTGGGCCCAGGTCTCTCAACGGCAGCCTGCGGGATTTCTTTGCCTGCTCCTTTCCCATCCTTTCAACTGCTCCCCAGAATCCCAGCTGTTAGAACAATAATTTAGAAAGAAGCAAAACTTGGCTGCCTTGCACAAACAAGACAAGTTCTCAAACCCTTCTCTCAAGAGCCACCTGTGGCTGCCCTAGCTGTCCAGCCAGATCTCCACTTCACTCTCTCCTTCCTCCAGAACAATCTTATCTCCAAGGTGCCCAGAGGAGCCCTGAGCCTCCAGACGCGACTCCGGGAGCTGTACCTCCAGCACAATCAGTTGACAGACAGTGGCCTGGATGCAACCACCTTCAGGTAGGCACACAGCAGTTCTGTGCTGACAGCTGCCCCCACCGGGGACTTCAGTGAGTACCAGTGCACCCCCAGCTTCCATGAAAGGTACTAGTTTGGCGGTGTCTCTGTCTCCTGCTACCGGTTCTTGAGATTCTATTACCTAATAGTTGTGTTTTCTTTTTCTGTGTGTGTGGGGGGAGATGGAATACAGGGTTTTCTTTCTTTTTCTTTTTTTTCCTTTTGAGATAGGACTTCTCTGTGTAACAATCCTGGCTGTTCTTGGAACTTGCTTTATAGACCAGGCTGGCCTCTAACTCATTGAGTTCCTCCTGCCTCTGTCTCCCAAGTGCTGGGATTAAAGGCGTGCACCCAGCTGGAATCCAGGTCCTTGTATATGCTAGGAAACAAAACAAGTCTTCCATCTACACCACCACCATCACCACCACCCCTGCCACACCCACCCCCCCCCACACACACGTTCTAGACAGGTCGACAGCCGTACCTCAGCTTTTGTTTTGCTTGCTTTTTGTTGCTTTTGTTTTGTTTTTTGAAACAGGGTTTCTCTGTAGCTTTGGAGCCTGTTTTAGATTTTATTTATTTATTTATTTATTATGTATACAATATTCTGTCTGTGTGCATGTCTGCAGGCCGGAAGAGGGCACCAGACCTCTTTACAGATGGTTGTGAGCCACCATGTGGTTGCCGGGAATTGAACTCAGGACCTTTGGAAGAGCAGGCAATGCTCTTAACCACTGAGCCATCTCTCCAGCCCCCGATTTTTTTTTTTTTTGACAGGGTCTCTCTGTGTAGCCACGGCTGTCCTGGAACCCTCTATAGACCAGGCTGACCTCCAACTCATTTAGCTCTGCCTTCCTCTGCCTCTTGATTGCTGGGACTAAGGATGCATGCCACAATGTCCAACTTAATTTATCTTTATGTGTATGGGTGTTTTGCCTGCATGGACGTCTGTGCATGTACGCAATGCTTGAAGAGCTGTAGGGGGGTGGCAGATCTCCCAGGACTGGAGTTCAGGCAGTCGACAGCCGCTGTGTGGTGCTGGGATCCTAACACTGGTTCTCTGGAGGAGCAGCCAGTGCTCTTAACTGCTGAGCCATCTCTCCAGTCCAGCCCTAGATTTTTTGAAAGAGTCTGGTTAAATGCAATCCAGGCTGGCATGGAACTCACAATCCTCATGAGTGCTGGGATTCCATACCTACACCCATGGGCATTCTGGCCTTCCATATGTATTTCTGTATCATATCAATCACTCTCAACCTGAAATCTCCAGTTTAACGGAATTCTAAAACCATTCCCTTACTTTCTGGTAAGATCTATAGGGGTTCCCCCGCGCCCCCACCCCACTCTTTTTTTTTTTTTTTTTTGAGACAGGATTTCTGTCCTGGAACTTGATAGATCAGGCTGGCCTTGATCTATTTGCCTCTACCTCCCAAGTGCTGGGATTAAAGGCATGAGAGCCAACAATGCCCAGCAGGGGTCTCTTTCTTGAAGTGACCATTCCATCACCCCTCTCTTCCATCAGCAAACTAAGCAGCCTTGAGTATCTGGACCTGTCCCACAACCAGCTGACCACAGTGCCTGAGGGTCTACCCGAAAACCTGACCATACTGCACCTGGGTCGCAACTGCATCCGGCAGGTGGAAGCGGTGAGACTACACAGAGCGAGGGGCCTGCGCTACCTGTTGCTGCAGCACAATGAGCTGGGGGCCTCAGCGCTGCCCGCCGGGACGCTGAGGCCTCTGCGGGCCCTGCACACGCTGCACCTCTACGGCAACAGGCTGGAGCGCGTGCCCCCAGCACTGCCCCGCCATCTGAAGGCCCTGGTGATGCCCCATAACCGCGTGGCCGTGCTAGGTGCCCGGGATCTGGTTTCCGCGCGAGCCCTGGCGGAGCTCAACCTGGCCTACAACCGCCTGGCCAGCGAGCGCGTGCATCCGGGCGCCTTCCGCCGCCTGCGCGCCCTGCGCAGCTTGGACCTGGCCGGTAACCAGCTGAGTCGGCTGCCGGAGGGCCTGCCCCCAAGTCTGCGCTCTCTGAAACTGCAACGCAACCAACTGCGGGCCCTGGAGCCAGAGCTGCTGGCTGGCCTGAAGAAGCTGCGGGAACTGAGTCTGGCGCACAACCGGCTCCGCGTGGGCGACATCGAGCCGGGCACCTGGCACGAGCTGCAGGCACTGCAGGTCAGGGGTTAACTACAATATGGTTATCTCCGCCCCACTGTTGGCCCAGCTACTCCCCAGTTCTGAGCCCAGGCATGCCACAGAGCCCCATGGGGGCAGCCTGAATGGCTAAAATAGACCCTGTTTGAGTTGTTGCTTGTATGTCCCCACCTCCTCTATTCTACCCAGCTTGGTACAAGACAGGACCCATATGTAAGCATTGCGGCTCAGATGGAAAGGGATTCTGGCATTCGGGAGCCAAGGAATACTGAGTACTACAGATCAGATGGAAGCGTGCTCTGGCAGTCAGGAGCCAGGGCACAGGGCACAGGGCACAGTAAGCTTAGCAGCTTGCAGCCCTGCTCTAGGGAGGGTTTCCCCAGTGTAACAGCTCTGCTGGGGCAAGAGAGGGCTTCCCCAGCCAAGTTGTTACAGCTCCGCTGCTCAGCTCCATTCTCCATGTAACAACTCTGCTCTGCTAGGGGAAGGTTTCCCCAGCAAAAGTGTTACAGCCCTGCTCCAATCCCTAGTCTCTGGCTTCCCCCACAAAGTTGTAACAACTTCTCAGCTCTGGCAGAAGGTCTTCACTCAAACCTTACTCAAGAGATTTATTGGGAAGGAAGAGCCCAGGAGAGTGGCTGCCTCTGCCAGAGTGCAAGAAGGGCAGCAGCAACCAGAGTGTGAGCAGGGCTTATACAGGGCTTCCGGAGGGCGCAGTGTTTCCAGGGAGATTTTCAGGGTGGGAACTGGTCAGATTCCCTAGCTCAGATTGGCTAGATCTCTGTTCAAGGATTGGTTTGTTTCTCTGCACAGGGTTTGGGGCTAAAGCATTGGGTTTCAGGGCCAGGGTGGGTTTCTTTGGCTGGCTCCTTTCCCCTACACCTTATCTCTTTCTGACCCTAAGCATCCTAGTTAGGGCAAAGGCCGTCTAGGCAATCAGTGTGATAGAAGGAAAGGAGCATGGCCAGATACGGGGACTGCACCTGGATCCACAGCTCAGGGAAGGCTGAAGTAGGAGGGGTGAAGCCAGCTGAGGCTACAGAAAGAAGAAAAGGAAGGGGAGGTGGGAGAGGTCTGGAGGAAGGGAAAGGAAGGGAAGAAAAAGCAAGGGTGTGAGTGAGGAGGATGTGAAGGTCCACCATCCTCAGATCCTTGTGTCTTGTTGAAATCAGCTGGTGGGGACCACATCTACCTGCACATCTCATAAATATAACAAATAGATCAGGCTCAGCAGATCTCTATGAAGGGAAGGAATTTGGCAACCATTATCAAATAAGAATCTGGAGGAAGGCCGGGCGGTGGTGGCGCACGCCTTTAATCCCAGCACTTGGGAGGCAGAGGCAGGTGGATCTCTGTGAGTTCGAGACCAGCCTGGTCTACAAGAGCTAGTTCCAGGACAGGCTCCAAAACCACAGAGAAACCCTGTCTTGAAAAAAAAAAAAAAAGAATCTGGAGGAAGCCTAGCTGGGCATGGAAGAGGCAGAGGACTGGGGAAGAGGGCTGGAAGCTCTTTGGCTGTGAGACCCAGGTCCTGAGCCTGCCATGGTGCTGTCTGCCTGTCAGGTGCTGGACCTCAGCCACAATGAGCTATCATTCGTGCCCCCTGACCTCCCTGAGGCCTTGGAGGAGCTGCACCTGCAAGCTAACCGTATCAGCCACGTGGGCCCAGAGGCCTTCCTCAGCACACCCCACCTGCGTGCCCTCTTCCTGAGGTGAGAACGGGAGTCTGGATAAGATAGTAGCTCTTCCATCACTGTCCTGACATCCCTGCCTCTCTGCACAGGGCCAACAGGCTTCATATGACAAGCATTGCGGCCGAGGCCTTCCTGGGGCTTGTACACCTACGTGTGGTAGACACCGCAGAAAACCCAGAACAGGTCCTGGTCCAGCTGCCACCCAAGAACAAGGGGGCCCTGAGCCCCAAGGGCTAGCCCTGAGCGCTGATGTACTGTGGACTAAGGAAATTCTCAGTTGGGGCCTTGGAGGCTGGGCCTGTTCTGCCCAGAGCTGGCCAAAGCACTAGGAACAGGTGTCTACTAGGGGTGGGGGGTGGGGGCTGAAGCAGGAAGCATGCTGACTTGAATATTCTGGGGAGCAGACTATGGTGATGGGGAAAATAAACTGGACCCCTTTCCATGTTCACACGAACTCAGTGTCCTCTGGGACCCATCTCTTCCATACACCTCAAAGGACTGCCCTTTCGTCCCTGAGACCAAGTTGGAGGACAAGACTCTAGAATTTGAAGTCAGTCAGTTTGGTCCCACGGCCAATGACTGATATGGATGACCTGAGACAGGTAATTAAACCCAAAAGGCCCAAGCCACAGGCTCACCCAGGCCTTTCCAGGGAACTGGGCTGAGTGGGGAGGCCCAGGCCAGCCACTGAGTGAGTCACATCAGGGAAAAAAAGACAGAGCTGAGATGGGTATGGCCTTGGCTGTTTATTCTGTGTTGGCCCTGGGGGGGATCCCAACTGGGTCAGCACAGCCCCTGGAGAGTCAGCTGAGTTTGACAGCCACAGTGGCATCTTTGGAGAGGGCTGTGGGGTTCAGACTGGGGAGGGGCAGGAAGTAAAGTGCTTGCAGGGCCCTCTGGGCTTGTGTCCCAGCCACCCTCTGCTCCAGATGCTCCTGGATGTGCAAACAGGATTCTCCAAGGCCTGCCCAGCCACACGGGATGAGGGTGCTGTCGCGATGTCCCTGGGGCCGGCCTGGACAGGGTGAGTCCAGAACCAACTGTCCGCTGATTGTCTGCTCGGTGGCCCTGGAGCTCTGCCTGGCACTGGACTTTGGGGCCCGTAGTCCAGAGATGAGCCTCACCTGCGGAGTCGCTGCAGCTGGGGGAGACATAGAGGGTCAGGAGACCATCATCACATATGCCCCCAGCCCTCTGGCCACTCACCTCGCTCTCCACCAGATTCCGCCGGTACAATGCCTCCTTCGCAGCCTCCTAGAGGAAGAGACCATTAGCTGACAGTCCAGTTAATATAAAATAGGGGCAGAGTCTACCCCATACCTGAGCATCCACCACACGGGGCCGGCTTACCCTGCTTCCGTCATAGCCCAAGCGCCGGGCGGCCTCTGTATAGAAGTGCAGCTGGCGCTCCAGATGGGTTGCATACTCTTGAGAAGTGGCAGTGGGGTCAGGGTCAGGCAGCTGCTTCTCCCCACTTGTGTCTCTGTCCCATTCCATGGGGATCCTCAGTTCCCTACCCCCTGCACACGGGTCTCCCCAGCCCCACTCCTGCTCCTACCCTTGCGGATGGCAGCACCCCCCTGCTCCAGCTGTGCCCTCTGCCACTGGCTGCGCTGCACCACGTCCTGGTACTGCTGGGCCACTTCTGGAGGCACCGGCCGGCGTGCCTGCCTCAAGGCTAGGATCTGGAGGGTACAAAGGGGACTCTGAGCCAATCTGAAGTCCACTCCTAAGCCCACCACACTGAGCCCAGGCCAGGCACCCACCTTCCTTTCTAGCCGCTCTTGGTCAAAGGCCAGCACACTCAGGCTGTGTAGGGGACGTGCTGACCTGCAGGGCAGAGAGGAATGACAGGCTACAGAGGAAGTGGTGGGGATCCAAAGGAGTCAGCTGGGCAGGGGATCTCAGAGGGGCCTTAGAGTCCAGACCAGGGAAAAGCAGACCTGGTGCTAGAGGTTCTGGGGCATGCTGTCGCCCAGCACTCAGGCAGGGGGATCATGAATGAGTGAGACCTGCTAGAGGGAGACGACAGAAGTGGACATGTCTGAGAGGAGGACAGAGTGAAGAAAGAGGGGCTGAGTATGCTGACAATGGGCAAATCACAAAAGGACACGTAGGCCGGGCGGTGGTGGCGCATGCCTTTAATCCCAGCACTTGGGAGGCAGAGGCAGGTGGATCTCTGTGAGTTCGAGGCCAGCTTGGTCTACAAGAGCTAGTTCCAGGACAGGCTCCAAAGCTACAGAGAAACCCTGTCTTGAAAATCAAAAAAAAAAAAAAAAAAAAAAAAAAAAAGACACGTAGAGGATTCTAAACCCAATTCCCCAAGGGGAGGATTCCAGACCTGCTCTGAAGCCAGACAGGACATGGTCTGATGGGCCATGGAAGCCAAGGAAGGAGCTGAGAGACAGGAGCATTCACCTCAGTGTGACCTCGCCCAGACTCACCTGTTCCCTGAGTCCCTCCAAGAGGTAGCGATGGGAGGCACCTTTGCTTTGGGACCAGTGACCTGTTTCAGTACAGAGAGCCAGTCTAATGAGTACTGAGGCCCTGAGCCCAGCCCTCTTCTCAGGGGTGGCTGAGCAGGACTCACCGTGGGCACAGCTGCTGGGAGGTGGTCAATGACCAGCCACCTCTCCGTTGTAGTCTCCAACTGCTGGGCTGTCAGTGGCTCCCGGATCCGGACCATCACTTCAAGCCGCCCCCCAGTGGGCCGGCGTCCATCCAAAACCTAGGTAGGAATAAGAAGGGGTGCTATGGGCAAAAGCAGCGATCTTACACAGGAGCTGGGGTGACACTGGTGACAGCAGACCAGCGTGCTCCAAGTCTACATGCACTCACTGCCCTCACCTCCAGGATCTCATGGACTTCACACGCTGTCTCCAGCATATCCAGTTTTAGCTGGGCTGTGCCCAGCACCCTGTCAGTCTTGAACAGCCCCCTGTGTGGGAAGGTGCAGGAAGCTGTGAGGCAGGCAGGCTGCTCCACAGCCCTGAACCTAGAACCTGCCATCTCTGGCTTACCCCTTGTGGACCACTTCGAACTTGATGCCCTTGGTTTGGATGGCCCTTCGGAAGCCACGGTGGCCACGGTTGATGCAGAGTTTGAACTGTTCTTTAAATTCTATGCAGGGAAGGAGGGAAGGATGAGAAGAAACTGGCTGTGTGGGAGTGTGCACTGGTTGTGGTGTGTATGTGTGTTACTGTAGTGGTCAAAGCACCACCTCAGGTGTCAGCCTTCACCATCAGCCTTGTTTGAGACAATGTTTCATTTGTGCACCCCAGCCTAAGTGGCCCACAGGCTCCCTTGTCCTCACCTCACCATAGGAGTGTGGGATTACAGAGGCATGTTACTGAGCCACCTTTAAGTTGGATCTGGAGATTCTAATTCACACACTTCAGCTTGTACTGCAATTGCTTTACCTACTGAGCCATCTTTCCGTGGGTTTTTTTTTTTTTTTCCTTTTTCTCTGAGGATGCTGGGACCTGGGACTTGTGCATATACACCTAAGCTACAACCCCACTCTGGCCCCAATTCCAGGTCGTCTTCTACAGCAGACCGGTGACTCACCAGGGGAGTCTGTATTTTTGATCACACTGGTCTTGTCTTTTTGAGCTTCTTCCTGTATCAGGGAGGAGGAACGAATGATCAGATCCGAATGATCAGATCCGTGCTATACCTGGACTTCCTGCTTGTCTTGCTTCCTGGTCCCCACCCACTCAGAGATTGCACCTACCACATTGGGATAAGGGAAGTCAAACCGGACAAAGGCATCCAGGTCACTAGGGGACAGTCCTGCAGGGAAACAAGGGTCAGACCTTGGGAAAGAGACCAGCCCACCCTTGCTTCTGAGCAGAGCCTCCGCCACCCTTACCTGTGGGTGTGGGCAAGTTGATGCCCTTCACAATAAATAGAAGCATGTCATTGTTGCTCAGGTCCGGAAAGATCCTTTCAGTAAGCAGGGAAACAGAGGCGGCACTTCAGCTTCGGCCTGTAGCTCTCATTTCCCTCTAGATTGTGGGGGTGTCACTCTAGGGTTCAGGCTGTGGAGTTAGGCATTCCCTTACCTGATTTCTGGGCTCTGTTCAGTGCTCATACATTTATTTGATACTCACTTCTATTTATGTTTCTGTATTTATTGTGTTTATATACATGTGCATGTGTTCGTGTGCATGCATGCAGGAATGCTATGTCATACATGTGAAGGTTGGAGAAGAAGCTTTGAGAGTTCTCTTTTTCTTTGAACTCTTGGCGGCAGGTCCTGTACTTACCTACTGACCCACTTCACTGGCCCTCGTTCGCCAGTGTTATTTGTGCACCTGCTGTGCACATGCAGTGTCTTAGCTGGGCCATGTACTCTGTATTCCTGGACCAGCCAGGATTCCAGCTGCTGTGTAGCACAGGCTGGCCAAAAATTCACTATGTAGCCAATGATGGCCTTGAATTCCTGATCCTCCTACAGGTACTTCTGGTAGCTCATTCTACCGACAGAGCTACACACCCAGCCTCTTCCTCTCATTTAATAATCATTGTCTGAGTGTCTCCAAGTGTCAGCTGGGGACCCAGTCAATGCAGCACTGCATGCGTGCCCAGAGCCTTGGCATGTCTGTGCTCCTACCGTGCATTTACTCTTGCCCAGAGTTGAGTCCTGCAATAGCTTGCAGAAGTGTAGATAGATCCCTCCCCAGCAGTACCCCAGCCAGGGGGCTTTGGGCCCTACTTGATAACACTGAAGGTCCTCTGCTCAAAGCGGGCAGCAGGTGTGGGCAGACTGCGGGCAAAGGCTTGCTTTAGGGTATCCATGCTCCGCTTACAGTCTTCTGCCAGCTTCTCGAACCTGCAGGAAAAGGTATTGCTTGGGGCCCTGGTCAGCTGGGCTGCCAGCGCAGGTACCTGTGAGGTAGGTAGGCACTTACTTGATAGTTTCAGCAATGTTACCCAGATGGGTGAACTGTGTGGCGTGGTTCAGACACATCTGTGGGGAAAGCGTTGAATATGGATGGAAGGCCAGGAGGAACAGTAAAGGGGACGGGATAGGGTCATGGGTGGGACCTCACTTCATGTTGCTGTCTCAGGAGTTTGGTAAGCTCCCCATAGCGCCGCACAGCCTCCTGAGACAGGCCTGGGCCAGGCCGCTGCACCAGCACAAAGTCGTCCTTGTTGACAGGAGCGGGTGGCACCTGTGGAGGATGAGGCTGGTAGGCAAGGGGCTGCTGGTCCACGAGGAGCAGCCTGTCTGGGGATCTGTCCTCTTCCCTGCCCCTCTATCTCTGGTGTCTGGGGTCTCCCTTCAGTTCCTACACTACCTGATGTAAGAAAGCCATCCTCTGGGCATCCAAGCCCTTGTCTGGGCAGCCCCGTACACGTGAGGTCCTGCTCTGTGGCTGGGGGACTAGGGATGCAGCAGTGAATAGAGACAGCCAAGCACGGTGGCACACCAGTGATTTTAACAGAGACTGGGCCAAGAGCATAGGAAGGTGGAGGACAGCATGGGCTACACAGTGAGTTCAAGGCCTCCTGTGTACAGTACAGAGACCCTATCTTTATTATTATTTTTTTTAAATCCGAACTAGAAATATATGAAGAGGGAGTTAGTCCAACAACTGTCCAGCTTGGGGTGCGTTCCAGGGTGAGAGGGCAGGTGGGAAGGCCCTGAGGCTGGAGTGGGGCTGGGGTCTGAGACGGAGGAAGTGAAGGGTAAGGCAGATCATGCAGAACCATGGACCACAGGAAAGCTCTGGATTTACCTGTGTGCCGCTGTGGTCTCCCTAGCTAGCATGTGTGGCTCACAAGGGTGGGAATAGTGGTCTGTTTGGTTCAGCATTAGGGTCCCAGGACCCAGGGTGTGCTCCGTACAGATTTCCTGTCATGGATGCTGCTGTCTATCATAAAGGTATTCGGAGATCCTGCCCGATTTTCAGGTGGGAATCAGTCTTCAGGTCTCCGAAGACTAAAACAATGTTCTGAGTGAACAGGGCTACCTCTGGCAGAATCTGTTAACTGTCTCCCAGAGATTCGAGTCTCTTCCCTAGTGATGGCATATAGCATTGCTCCAAGCCCCAGAAACCTTTGCAGTTCAGTATGGCCACATGGCTAGCTCTGGCCAATGGGAGATAAGCAAAAGACCTGGGTTCTGGAGGCAGCAGGGGTGTTTTGCTGTAGAGGAATAGAGGTCAGGGCGGCGGTCCTGGGGCCTGCAATAACTCCTTTAAGCCACTCTGTCCTTTTACTCCACCCTTTCCATGGGCAGAAGGCAATGGGTCGGTGATCCATAGGGATAAGACCCTAGGAAGATGAAAAGCCTGGAAGCCATAAAGGGGGCCCGGGCCCCTCAGGCACCCTGTTATAGAGCCTAGCTTGTCCTAAGCTTACATGCAAGAAATAACTGTATCCTTTCAACTACTGTCTTCCAGGGCCTATTTGTCACAGCAGCTTAGAGGATGACTAATACTTTCTAGGTCACATAGTTGCTAAGGGGCCCACAGGCGGTATGTGTGAGTATAGAGGTCTCACCTTGGCAATGTCCACAGGCAGCCCGCTGCGAGAGGCCTCTAGCATGGGCTCTAGCCCTTTGGCCTGGCGCAGATGCATCTTGGCGCCCTCTACGTCATTCTTTTGCTTGGCACGCAGTGCAGCCTGCAGGAGCTGCTTCTTACGACCTTCCAGGAAGGCCAGTTGCTGCTGGGCTGTAGGTGGGGAAGCTTCAGCGGGGGCTGCCCAGCCCATGGGAGTCAGGTTGGCCTGGGTGTAGCCAGGGCAGGTGGGGTACTTACCCCTGGTGGATGTACCCTTGGGAACTGCTTTGCCTGTTGTTGCTGGTCCTGATGCGGGCGCTTTGGAGGGTGAGGACTTCAGCTGGGTTGTGGGGGCAGCAGGGGTATTTTGCTGCAGAGGGATAGATAGAGGTTGGGGTATTCCCAGGGCCTGCAATGACTCAAAACCAAGGACCTGTCTCTGTGTCCTCAACAGGGTGGCCTCAAACTCATTATGTAGCCGAAGCTGGCTTTGAACTCCTCTCCAGGGCTGAGATTCCAGGTATGACCCACCGTGCCTGGCTCAGTCTCAGCACTGTCCACATCTACAGTCCTCCTACTACCTACTCTCTGCAGTGGCTCTGCATAGGGCGGCTACTCTGCACCCATGCTGTAGATGAAAGGACTAAGGCTCAGGGAGCAGAATGGTCTGCCCACAGCCCCATAACCCCACAGCCAAGAAGGGGCAGGCCTATGGTGTGGGGCTGCCTCACTCCTACTTGGGCCCAGGCCTCCCTGGGTTGTGTCCTGTTGTCACACTCCACCTCAGCCCTGACCCTTGCACCTTTTTAGGAGCCTCATCCTCTTCCTCCTCTGAGCCTTCATCATGGTTAGCAAGCTTCATGGCAGTTTCCAGAACCCCTGCCAGGCTCTGCTGGGTGGGCTCTGCATTCTCCAAGCCCTGAATTGGGGGGAAGCCTGGAGAGCAGAGTGACCTGGTCAATGCGTTCCAACTATTGTGAGGGTGCCATCAATCCCTCCTCCCCTAAGGAACCCAGGCCTTTCTTTTTGTTGGTTTTCTGAAACAGCCTCACTATGTAGCTTGGGTTGGCCATGAACTTGCAATCCTCCTGCCTTAGCCTCCCAGTACTAGCATTATAGGTGTGTGCCATGCCAGTCTTCCTGCTTTCTGCATACCAAAGATGGACTCTGGGGCTTTGTGCATGCTAGTGTCCGACCACCGCTGGACTATCCAGCCCGCCCTGAGACGGAGTGGAGGAGTGTGGGGTCCTCTAAGTGCCGGACTCCTCCGTCCTTCCCATGGTACTTCCTTCTCTTGCTGAACCTCCAGGTTTCAGGCAGGTTCTAAGAGACTCTGTCGAATGGGCCTCAGCTGGGAGAGGGCTCCCAGAAGTGGAAGATGACTTTCCATAGGTGACAGGTGGGCAGCTGACAACTTAAGAGGTTTCTACTCTGAGGACTGGCGGGAGGCTGAGGGAGGTTTTGGAAAGTCAAAGCCTGCAGCTTGGCGGGGTGAATGGAATGAAGTGGGGGGGGGGGGGGAAGACAGCTGGAAGACAGAATAGGCTCCAAAACAACCTCTTGACTTTTGAGAACTTTCCGGTTTCCCTGATATAAACATTTTTGTCATGACTCACTTCATTCTGGTTAAGAGGCTTGCAAAGCTCCCGAGTGCACAGCCATGGCTATATGAAGCAGCCTGCAGGCAGGAACAGACCAGCAAAGGCCCAGCGGTAGAGGGTGTGGGATGGGGGGACTACCTTGGGATAGACCTTACCTGGGGGGAAACGTACTTGGGGTAGGGCCTTCCTAGAGGTGTAGCCTACCTGGGGGTACTGGCAGCTCGGTCACATCCACAGCTCGGCCTGCCTTGTGGGCTCGAATGGCATCTTGGTATTGCTACAAAGCACAGAGGTGTTAGGAGGACCTGAGAGAAGTCCCAGGAGCACTCATTGGACCCCTACACACCTTGACAATGCGTTCGTGCATGCGTGCCTTCCGCTGATCACCCTTGGCCTTGGCCTGGGCTGCAGCCACATGGTACCGCTCCATTCGCTGCTCCAGCGCCTCCAGGAGGCTCCTGGGAGGTTGGGGAACCTCTGGGCCAGAGGAGGTGGCAAGCAGATTAAGGGTGGAAGGAAGTGGAGCACAGACCCCGTCTGCCCACCTCCAAGGATCTCAGCAGCCTACCTGGTCTGATGGGTGCTGAGGCAGGGGTCAAAGGTTGTGCTGCTGGCAAAGGGGGCTCTGGAGACAGCTGGTCTGGAGACAGAGAGGCCCAGCCCATTGAGAGGCTTGCTTGGAGATCTCGGGCAGCACCAAGATGAAAAGTAGGAGTAGGAGGGGGCATGGGCGGATAGGGTCCTCACCAGGAGGAGGAGGGGGCACGGGAGGATAGGGTCCTCACCAGGAGGAGGAGGGGGCACGGGAGGATAGGGTCCTCACCAGGAGGAGGAGGGGGCACGGGATAGGATCCTCACCAGGAGGAGGAGGCACGGGATAGGGTCCTCACCAGGAGGAGGAGGGGGCATGGGATAGGGTCCTCACCGGGTGGAGGGGGCACGGGATAGGGCCCTCACCAGGAGGAGGAGGGGGCACAGGAGGATAGGGTCCTCACCAGGAGGAGGAGGGGGCACGGGATAGGATCCTCACCAGGAGGAGGAGGGGGCACAGGAGGATAGGGTCCTCACCAGGAGGAGGAGGGGGCACGGGAGGATAGGGTCCTCACCAGGAGGAGGAGGGGGCACGGGATAGGATCCTCACCAGGAGGAGGAGGCACGGGATAGGGTCCTCACCAGGAGGAGGAGGAGGCACGGGATAGGGTCCTCACCAGGAGGAGGAGGGGGCACAGGAGGATAGGGTCCTCACCAGGAGGAGGAGGGGGCACGGGATAGGGTCCTCACCAGGAGGAGGAGGGGGCATGGGATAGGATCCTCACCAGGAGGAGGAGGGGGCACAGGAGGATAGGGTCCTCACCAGGAGGAGGAGGGGGCACGGGAGGATAGGGTCCTCACCAGGAGGAGGAGGGGGCACGGGAGGATAGGGTCCTCACCAGGAGGAGGAGGGGGCACGGAAGGATAGGGTCCTCACCAGGAGGAGGAGGGGGCACGGGATAGGGTCCTCACCAGGAGGAGGAGGGGGCACGGGATAGGGTCTTCACCAGGAGGAGGAGGGGGCACGGGAGGATAGGGTCCTCACCAGGAGGAGGAGGGGGCACGGGAGGATAGGGTCCTCACCAGGAGGAGGAGGGGGCACGGGAGGATAGGGTCCTCACCAGGAGGAGGAGGGGGCACGGGAGGATAGGGTCCTCACCAGGAGGAGGAGGGGGCACGGGAGGATAGGGTCCTCACCAGGAGGAGGAGGGGGCATGGGATAGGGTCCTCACCAGGTGGAGGGGGCAGGCGGGAAAGGTCCACCAGTTCCCCACGGCTTAGAGCCTCCAGGACAGGGTCGAAACTCTGAAAGAAAGAATGAGATGGGTGGGGAAGGGGCTACCAGGATCCCAGGGGATGTTCTATGCCCTGCCTCTCCCTGGGGTCACCCTCTAATGCCCTCCAATACTGAGACATGATTCCGGGCAGAGAGGAAGGCAGCGGACTAGAGGAGCTAGTAGCCCCACCTGAGGGTTGGAACACACCTTGGCTACCCTCAAGTGTCTGGTGGCCGCAGCAGTGTCGCCCTGATGCTTGGCATGGAGGGCAGCCAGTTTGTACTCATGCTGGAGGCTCTGCAACTGGGCGAGGGGGCTGCAGGGACCTAGAAAGAAGAGGAACACTGACCATCAAAATCCCAGCAAAATTCTTACAGACCTTGAAAGAACGGTACTCAGCTTCACATGGAAAAGCAAAAAACCCAAAACAATCCTGTACAATAAAAGAACTTCTGGAGGCATCACAATCCCCGACTACAAACTCTACTACAGAGCTACAGTACTGAAAACAGCCTGGTATTGGCATAAGAACAGACAGGAGGACCAATGGAACTGAATAGAAGATGTGGATATTAATCCACACATCTTTGAACACTTGATTTTTGACAAAGAAGCAAAAAAATATCAAATGGAAAAAAGAAAGCATATTTAACAAGTGGTGCTGGCATAACTGGATATCAACATGTAGAAGAATGAAAATAGACCCATATCGATCACCATGCACAAAACTCAAGTCCAAAAGGATCAAAGACCTCAACATAAAGCCAGCCGCACTGAATCTTATAGAAGAGAAAGTGGGAAGTACACTTGAATGCATTGGCACAGGGAACCACTTCCTAAATAAAACCCCAGCAGCACTGACACTGAGAGAAACAATTAATAAATGGGACCTCCTGAAACTGAAAAGCTTCTGTAAAGCAAAGGACACAGTCAACAAGACAAAATGACAGCGACAGAATGGAAAAAGATCTAACTAACCCCACATCAGACAGGGGTCTGATTTCCAAAATATACAAAGAACTCAAGAAATTGAACACCAAAAGATCACTTAATCCAATAAAAAAAATGGAGTACAGACCTAAACAGCGAACTCTCAACAGAAGAATCTAAAATGGCTGAAAGACACTTATGGAAATGTTCAACATCCTTTGTCATCAGAGAAATGCAAATCAAAACAACTCTGAGATTCCATCTTACACCTGTAAGAATGGCCAAGATCAAAAACACTGATGACAACTTATGCTGGAGAGGTTGTGGAGAACACTCCTGCATTGCTGGTGGGAGTGCAAGCTGGTACAACCTCTTTGGATGTCAGTGTGGTGATTTCTCAGATAATTAGGAAACAACCTTCCTCAACACCCAGTAATACCACTTTTGGGTATATATCCAAAGGATGCTCAATCGTGCCACAAGGATGTGTGCTCAACTATGATCACAGCAGCTTTGTTTGTCATAGCCAGAATCTGGAAACAACCTAAATGCCCCTTGACCAAAGAATGGATAAGAAAAATGTGGTACATTTACACAGTGGAGTACTACACAGCAGAAAAATATAACATCTTGAATTTTGCAGGAAGATGGGTGGAGCTAGAAAACATTATTTTGAGTGAGGTAACCCAGAACAGAAAGACAATTATTACATGTACTCACACTCATAGGTGGTTTTTAAACATAAAGCAAAGAAAGCCAGCCTACAAATCACAATTCCAGAGAATTTAGACAATAATGCGGACACTAAGAGAGACTTACATAGATCTAATCTACATGGGAAGTAAGAATTGAGTAAATTGGGAGCATGGGGACCTTGAGGGAGGGTTGAAGCGGGGAAGGAAGAGGCAGGGAGGGAAGCAGAGAAAAATGTAGGGCTCAATAAAAACCAGAAGAAGGAGGAAGAAGAAGAAGGAGGAGGAGGAGGAGACAACGACGACACAGAAGACCAGGCCAAGCTCACCTCACACTGTCTTATTTGATTCTCACCACTGAGTTTTGAGCCCATTATATAGATGGACACCTGAGGCTTAGAGAGGGCATGCTTTCTGCCAACATCACTCGGCTTTCAGGTGGCATGAGGGACATTCAATCCTAGACCTGGAGGTTCTGAGCAGTAGAGTTTCTCCCCCCAGAATTCTTTTTATTTATTTATTTATTTATTTTTGAGACAGGGTTTCTCCGTAGCTTTTTTGGTTCCTGTCCTGGAACTAGCTCTTGTAGACCAGGCTGGCCTCGAACTCACAGAGATCCACCTGCCTCTGCCTCCAGAGTGCTGGGATTAAAGGCGTGCACCACCACCGCCTGGCTCCCCCAGAATTCTTTAAAACCTGCTATAAAAGTTGGCAGTGGTGCACGCCTTTAATCCCCACACTCGAGAGGCAGAGGCAGGCAGATCTCTATGAGTTCGAAGCCAACCTGGTCCACAAAGTGCGTTCCAGGACAGGGCCCAAAGCCACAGAGACACCCTGTCTCGAAAAAAGAAAAACAAAAAACCCTGCTATATCCCCTTTTAATCTGTCAGAGATCTTCTTAAAGTTTAAAAGTAGCCAAAACTATTAAAGTACCTTAAAACTATGAGCATTATAGAGATGACTGCAACTGCGTGCCTTTTCCTGCTTTGTGGCATCTGGTGTTTTCAGGGCTGATGGTGGAGTGCAGGGCCTCCCACGTGCTAGGCTAACTATACCATTGGCTCCAGTCTTTCTGACCAGGAAATGCAGCAGGTAAAGGCATCTGCTACCACCTGGTGGCCTCAGTTTGAACCCTGGAGTCCACATGGTGGGAGGAGAGAACTGACTCACAAGGATTATCCTCTGATCTTTGCCAAGCATTCTGTGGCATGGACAACCCCACCCCCAATTAAAAAATGAAAATTTAGCCAGGCAGTGGTGGTGCACGCCTTCAATTCTAGCACTTGAGAGGCAGAGCCAGGCAAATCTCTGAGTTCGAGGCCAGCCTGGTCTACAGAGTAAGTTCCAGGACAGCCAAGACTGATTCACAGAGAAACCCTGTCTCAAAAAAACCAAAATAAATAAAGTGAATTTAAAAGTGATTGGAAACTCAACAACATTTACTTTAATGAACATGTTTAGATTCATTTGTTTCACGTGTACGAGTGCTTTGCCTGCAGACGTGTGTGCGCCACATGAGTGCCTGGTGCCCTTGGAGGCCAGAGAGGGCCTCAGTTCCTTTGAACCTGGAGTTACAGACAGTTGTGAGCCACATGTGGGAACTGGGAACTAAACCTGGGTCCTCTTCAAGAGCAAAAATGCTCTTAACTGCTGAGCCATCTCTCCAGGGGTGGTGAGACGAGGTCTTATAAAGCCCTTGCTGGTCTGGCCTTGAACCCAAAGTGATCTGCCTCCAAAGCACCAGGACTAAAAGGTGTGTGTCAGCATGCCAGGCTCTACTTATTTTTCAAATTAGAGTAAAATACATAACACTCACTTAAAATTTTATACTTTTCTTTTTGGGTAGGGGGGTAGGAAAAGTGGCGGACACCTTTAATCTCAGAGCTCAGGAGGCAGAGGCAGTTATATCTCAGTGAGTTCACAGCCAGGTCTATGCCATGACTCCCAGGCCAGTCAGAGCTACACAGTGAGACCCTGACTCAAAATAAATAACTAAAAAATTTTAAAAAAGCTTTCAAAAATTCTTATACTGTCATGTGGTGGTCAGCTGACAATTTTGTGTACTTGGTTCTCTTTCCACCTCTTCTGGGCCTCAGCCTTTATCCACTTCCCAGGTCTCTCTTCCTCCTGCTGAGGTGGGTCTTCCTATAGCACCAGCTGTCCTCCAAGTGCGATCCTCCTGCATCAGGTTTCTTAGTCCTGAACTGATACGTATGTGACAACATGCCTGGCTCATTGTGTCTTCCTCAGCTGCTTTCTGAGACAGTCTCTCATTGAACTTGGAGCTCACCAACTGGCCAGACTGGCTGGCCAGAAGCCCCAAGCATCCTCCTGTCTCTGCTTCTCACTGCTGGGACTGTAAGACATAGCACCATGTCCCTTCCTACACAGGCACTGGGATCTGGAATCATAACCTCATTCTTATACAGCAGGGACTTTACCTGCTGACAGCCATCTCCCTACCTATTAACTACCTTTTTTAAAGACAGGACTTCTCTGTGTAACAGCCCTGGCTGTCCTGGAACTCTTTAGTGCATAGTCTGGTGGCCTTATACACATCCACAAAATAGTGCAGTCACCCCCACCAACTCTATAACATATTTCTCCAAACTAAAACTCCACCTCCGTTAAACACTCCCTCCTGATCTCCCCCCAGCATGCCACCTGCCATTCCACTTCCTGTGCTCATGGGTCTGACAACCCTGGGGCCTTCCTGGGGATGGGATTAGTGTCCTGTCTTCTATAGCATCTTCACTCAACATCATGTCCTAATGGCTCTTCCATGTGAGAGCACGCTAAAAAAGTATGACATTCCCCTTTATGGTCAAATAATATTGTAAGCACAGCCCATGTTCTGAGGTCTCTCAAGAGCCCACATAGACCCTGCTGTATTACCCTGGCCCTTCCCACCATTTACCGGGAGGGTTGGCAGGGGTTTGTGTGGTGGTAGATGTGGTCTCCAAGGTGACGCTGGACTCTGCGGCTGGCAGGTTCACAGGAGCCAGGTGGGGAGTAGCATGGGTGTGGCTGTGCCCGGCTGCTGGTCCCTTCCCCAGTGTGACAAGTGGTGGGATGTCTGCTTCATTGATGATGTTGCCCTTCCTGGAAGAGGCCAGCAGGTTTTCCAGTGTCTGAAACAGGGTGTGGGCATGAGTGAGAGGAATTCGGAGCTCAGCGCTCCTGGGTCCAGACAGAGTCCTAGCACCCTGCCCTTGGCCTGCTCACCTTGAGCCCCCGGTCATAGCGTCGCATCTTGGCACTGTCCCCAGCTTGCCTGGCACTCTCCACTGCAGACTGGTAGAGGGCTAGCCTCTCCTGCAACATGGCCTCTACTCCTGGGTTGGAACCTGAAGGCTTTGGCTACAGGAAGATTGGGGTTCAATCTGGGTGGTAACCCCAATTAGACCACCTTAACCGGCCCCTCATAGTATGAACACATGTTTCCCCTGGAACAATCTTTCCTACCCCTAATGGTGGAGACACCACAGTTCAGAGGTTCAGAGGTAGCATGTCACCTGTGCCCAAGGTCACATGTAGAAGGGGGGAGAGGTGAGCCTTTAAACACAGTGTGTGTGTGTATGTGTGACTTAGGGAAGACATACCTGGGCCACAGACTTCAGGGGCTCCACAGCCTTCTGTTCCTCCCCAAGGACCTCGTTTAGCTCTGCCTGCAGGGATACATGGCCAGGGTAGGAGGAAGAGGTTGCTGGCCAGGGCACTGGGATGGTAAACTGCCACGTGTCCTGGCCCTGTGCTCACCAGCAGGTCCTCATCAGCCTCCACATCATCCTCATCAGTACCCTCTTCATCCTCATCCAGGTCTCTCATGCAGAGCCGGGCCATCTTCTCAATAGCCTCCATTGGCAAGGGACCTGGAGGCAAGAAAAAGCCTCAGCTAGAGCAGGATCCTCCCAGAGCCTCAGCCAGCCACCCCACACTCAGGGCCCTGAAGAACAGACCCCTTTCCCTGAGCACCGTGGCGTACCACCATTGCGGAGCCCTTCGAGACTGCCGCCACCTGCCGCCTGCCAACCCCAACCTCCAAGCATTCGTTTCTTCCCTGTCCAGTCTCAGCTATGCTGTCAGGCACCCGAGTTCGAACCTCAGCTCTGTAATGCTCTCACTGTATGACCTTGAGCGGTTACTTCACTTCCCTGGGCTTCAGGAGAGCAATAACCTAACAGTAGACTGTGGGAACTAAAGGTGAATTAAATTCTGGGAGCAGAAAAGCCTACACCGCCCCTGCCTCATCCGCAGAGAGCAGCACCTTCCTCTCAAGGCTTGCACATTCTTGTGCTTGGGATATGATCAAGTAAAATAAAGGCTTCCATGCAGCTCGTCGGACAGGCTGGACAGCCACACGATAGCTAGCAGGTCACCTGTGTGGCAGATACAACATGGATACACTAGACAGAATGACACTCATCCTGGAGAAGGCAGCTCAGATGTTATCCTGGCATCCAGAGCATCATGCAATTTGGATGTAGGTAGGTGAAAACACAGAAAACAAAAGCACCAGTCAAGCAGGCTTTTGTTGGTGTGGTGCGTATGTTTAAGGAAACAGTACTCTGTACAGTTCTGTAAGAGAGTGTTTTGGCAAATACCGGGAAATACTACTAAGGTTGGATTTTATATTTATTTAGCTTGCATGTACACATGCATATGTGCAAATATTGTGCCACAGCGCATGTGTAGAAGTCAGAGGACAATTTTCCAGGGTCATTTCTTTCCTTCTACCAGATGGGTCCTGGAGACTGAACCCCCAGGACTGAGCACAGGGCTGTCAGGCTTGGGGAAAGCTTCTTTACCCACTGAGCCATCTTGTTGGCCCTCTGCCCATTGTTTATTAACCAGTAACCCACAACCTTGCCGTCTGTGTGCTTCTATCTAAAGATTTACTGTATGTTGACCAGTGCACACACCTAAACGGGTGACCAACAGACCTGCAGCTCCCAGCTAACACGCATGTTACTTCCCAAAGGAACAGGGTTACCACCCCAGCTTCGAAACACCCAGCAACACTGTGCTTAGGGCCACTGTGAATACTGAAGTTACTCAGGGCTGGGAAGATGTCTTGGGGTACGAGTGCATACTGCCCTTGCAGAGGACCTGAGTTTGGCTCCCAGCACCCACACGGGGTGGCTCACGACTACTTGTAACCTCAGCTCTGAGAATTTGACACTCTCTGCCACCTCTCGTGTATGTCTGTCTGCACACATGTGGTATACTCATAAAGACTCACAAAAAATTCTTAAAAAGGAAAGTTGTGGCAGAAAACAGATTGGATAAGGCTCAGCTGCATCCACAACTGACCCTGTCACCTAGACCCCAGACTCCAGGAAGCGGGGGATGTCTTGTTTTTCTCCCCCATTTCTAACCCAGTGCCCAGCTCCAAGTGCTGTCCACAGCAGAAGTTCCAAGTTCTCAAGTGTGTTGAGCATCTCACCTTTGCCTCTGAGTTTCTCCAGGGCCTGGGGCTGGTCCCCCACCAAAGCCAAGAACTCAGCCTCCAGTTCCTCATCATTTACCCCATCCTCAGGGATCATCAGGCCGTCTGGGGAAAAATCAACCAGCAGGCCGAGCTGTGGGTATAACCATTGTCCAGTTAGACCTTCCATACACTATTCAGCCCCAGGTAGCCAGGACGGATCCAGAGAGTCCCCACGGAAGGTAGGAACCAAATCTCTAAAAGTAAACTGTTTCTTGGGGAGACTAGGAGGCTGAGACACACAGACCAAACCACAGTGATTAAGCGCAAGGCTCGGCAGCAGAGAACCTGCCTAGAATGGACCAGAGTGGGGCTGGTAGATGCACTCATCAATAAAGTGCTAATTCTAACCCTAGCATGTGCAAAGCCTTGGGTTCCATTCCCAGCATGGCAAGGGAAAAAAAATAAATAAAAATGAAAGCCCTGACCACAGCATTGAAACTGGATCTTTTCTAGAGACCTGCCTTTCTGTTTTGGCTAATGACCAATAGAATATGATGAGTTACATAAAATTACCCTTGCCGGGTGGTGGTGACACACACCTTTAATCCCAGCACTTGGGAGGCAGAGGCAGGCAGATCTCTGTGAGTTCGAGACCAGCCTGGTCTACAAGAGCGAGTTCCAGGACAGGCTCCAAAACCACAGAGAAACCCTGTCTCGAAAAACCAAAAAAAAAAAAAAAAATTAAAAAAAAATTACCCTTTCTATAGGTCCAAATTGGCCAAATACTAGCAATTATGTATGGCTCCACCTACTGGGAATAATGATTAACATACTATGTCCTAGCATTTTCCATAGATATCTCAATAAGTCTTTACAACTGTCATGCCATTTAAGGACTCTTCCAGGCCTCCATTCCACAGGTGGGAAGACTGAGGCTCAGAGTTACAAATATATCTGTCAAGCGTACCAAGGCCAGGAGGGAACCGGTAGTCAGAGAGATTCAGACCTGAACACTGAGTTAGGCCCTGGGCTCTCTGGTTCAAAGTTGGGACAAATCAAAATCTCACAGGCTCTGTCTGGATCTGGGAGCATGACGTTGGGCCAAAGTCCTGGAGGTTTTCCTGTACGCCTCTGGACCGACATTTCTGTCTGGCCAGCCTGTTCATTCTTCCGACCTTGGTTAGATGACTTCGTCTCCCTGAGTCGCGGTGTACTCATCTATACAATGGGAGTAAGGAGTGTGGCCTGGCCCAGCTGATTCAAAGGCTTGAAAAGCTGGTCTTATTGCTGTCTCTTCCAGGCTGAAACTGCTGCAGCAACAGGTGTTCCCTGTAACCAGGGTGGGGAGCCAGAAGCTGGATGGCCCAGGCCAGTAGGCCCTACAGTAGGGAGCGAGCCTCACCTCGGGGGGGCGGGGACCTAGGCTCACCTGGTGGCGAGAATCAGGCTTTTCTGGGGGTGGGGCACTCCCTGCGGGTGTGAAGAAGGATGAGGAGAGACCTTGAGGAAGGGTGGGAGGAGACCGCCTCCCCCAGGTGGGCAGAGGGGCGCACACTCACCTGGCGGGCGGTGACAGCGCCTCGGCCCGGGGGTGCCGGGGGTCCATTCCTCTTGTGCATCTTCCCGGGTAGAAGCCCGTTCTACCAGCCCCTGATCCTTGGCCTTGCCCTGCCTCTTCCCTGAAGCTGTGTCTCTGAGCTCGCCGCGTTCCTGAGCTCGGAATCCCTCCTCCGAGCCCGGCCCCCGGGATTCGCGAGTTCAGGCAGTCCGGCTTCCGCCTTGGCCTTCAGGACACGGCCGCAGGATTCGCGGGATCTCAGTCACTAAACTACAATCCCCGGCAGGCAGTACGGGGACACGCATGCGCCTGATATGAGGCGCGCGCGGAGAGGAGGAGGAGCATGCGTAAGGCGCGGTGAGGGTGCTGCGCGTGCGTGGGGCGGGAAAGAGGTGGAGGGCTGCAGGTGTGAGGGCGCGGCGGCGTGACGGGCGTGACCGGCGGAGGGCCGTGGCTCTCGCCGCTGTGCCCTGTTCTGTCTCGCTTTGTGGGAGTGCGGGGGGTGTTACTGCTATCGGTCACTTGGGGCAGGTCGCGGGGAGCGCTGCGTCCACGGTGCCGGACCTCAGGCCTTTGGGTCCCCCAGCGCCATTCGGCCACACGATCCCGTGTCTGACAATGTGGTCATTTTCTCAAAATGTCACGCAAGTAATTTAGGCGATTTATTCCCCGTCAGATGCAAGCTGATCTCGTCCCTACTAAGGACAGAGTGACTTCGTCTCTGCTGTGGCCCAGGTTGGTTCTGGCTTGCCTCGAGTCCCACAGCCCGAAGACCAGAAGTGACACCCCTGCCTCAGGTGGCCCTGGTTAAAGTCACTTTGGTGGTTCACCAGTGGTCTCTCAAAAGCTTCCAAGTACCCCACACCCCAGATACATAACTTTGGGCACTGTGGGGGTGGGGTGGAGCACAGTCGTCTCTATCCCAGAGACTAGAGTCCCGAGGAGGACAAAGATAGTTCCTTCACACAGGGAAAGGGTGGGAATTCCTACCTGACCATTGCCCAAGATGGCTATGACCTGGTGCCCCAGTCCGCGTCCTGCAGGAATTAAGCTGACTCCCCTCATCGGGCCGCCAGATGGGCCCTGTGGAAGAGGGAGACCACTGGGTACACGCGGGAACATAAAGTGCTGGCAACAGCTATAGAATTTGTTTGTTGCTTTCAGATTTCTCAGGGAAAGATAAAATGTATAAGAAGAAGAAGAAGCAGCGGGACTCAGGTATTTGGTTTATTAAAATTGGCATTATTATTTTATTATGTTTCATTTTGCTTCATTGACACAGGGTTTCTTTGTGTAGCCCTGGCTGTCTTGGAACATGCTCTGTAGACCAGGTTGTCCTCAGATTCATGGAGATGCAGTAGTTGCCTCTGCCATCACTACCCAGGACACCACCATTGTCTGCCTTCAAATTGGCTTGTTAGTATTCATTTATTTGAGGTACTGGGCCTAGAACATAGACCTTCCTACATGATAAATACTCTGCCATGAAACTACATCTCTGTCCCAAGTTGACCGTTTTATTTTTGATGTGTGTTTTTGATGTGTATTTTTGATGTGTGTTTTTGAGATGGGGGTGGATTCTTGCCATGTGTGCTGTTTTATGTCATTGTGTCTCAAGCTGGAGTCATTTGGGAAAAGGTACTCTCGACTGAGAAAATGCTTCCAAAAGATTTGCCTGTAGCTAAGTTTGTAGTACATTTTCTTGATTAATGCTGAGTATGGGTGGGCCCAGCTCAGTGGGGGGGACATAGTGCATGGGGGAAGGCAAGTAGTCCTGAGTTAGATAATAAAGCCAGGAGGCTGCTTCCCTCCACAGCCAAGTGCTTCAACTCCTGCCTCCCTTTGATGACGGACTATGATGTAGAAGTGTAATAAACCCTTTCTTCCTTTCTCCCTCCATTTTGCTTTTGCTCACAGTAATAGAAATTCTAACTAATATATCTTGTAGCCCAGGCTGGCTTTGAACTTATCTTCCTGCCTTAGCTTACTGTGCACTGGGATAAAGGCCTGTAGACCAAGCCCAGGTGTTTTGCTGTTTCTTTTTTGTTTGTTTGTTTTTGTTTTTGTTTTTTCGAGACAGGGTTTCTCTGTAGCTTTGGTGCCTGTCCCGGAACTAGCTCTCGAAGACCAGGCTGGCCTCGAACTCCTAGAGATCCGCCTGCCTCTGCCTCCCGGGTGCTGGGATTAAAGGTGTGTGCCACCACCACCCGGCTGTGTTTTGCTGTTTTATAAATAGAAAAGTTCTCACTCTGGGGCTGCAAAGGTGGCTCAGTAAAATGCCTGCCAACAAAGCAAGAGGAGCCCAATCTCCAAACTCATTTTTAAAATAGCAGGCATGGTGGCCTGTGCTTGTGGTCCCAGTGACTTGCTAGCCAGCCAGTCCAGCCTCCTAGGCGAGTTCCACATCAGTGAGAGACCCTCATAAAACAATGTGGGCTGAGCAGTTGGCTCAGTGACTGACACACATGCTGTGCCAGCACGAGGACCTGGGTCTGGATTCCTAACATTCACACAGAAGCTGGATATAATGGCGCCTGTCTGTGACCCCAGCACTAGAGGGGGAGGAGACAGCTAGTCTAGACACAACAGGGAACCCTAGGTTCAGGGAGAGAGTAACCCCAGCACTAGAGGGGAGGAGACAGCTAGTCTAGACACAACAGGGAACCCTGGGTTCAGGGAGAGAGTAACCCCAGCACTAGAGGGGAGGAGACAGCTAGTCTAGACACAACAGGGAACCCTGGGTTCAGGGAGAGAGTAACCCCAGCACTAGATGGTGTGGGGGGGAGTGGAGACAGCTAGTCTAAACACAACAGAGAACTCTAGGTTCAGGAAGAGATCTTATTTCAAAAAAAATAAGATGTAGGACTAGAGAGATGGCTGCTTTTCCAGAGAACCCAAGTTCAGTTCCCAGAACCCACATGGAAGCTCACAACCAACTGTATGTAAACCCTGTTCCACACCCTCTTCTGGTCTCCAAGAGCATGCATGTGGTAGTGGTGCATAGACTTACGTGCGGGCAAAATACCCAAACAAGTAAAATGTAAACATTTTAGAAGTTAGAAAGGAAGACCCCTAATACTGACCTGTGACCTCCACATACTCACTTGTGATATTTTATTTGTTTTTTTTTAAATATTTATTTATTATGTATACAATATTCTGTCTGTGTGTATGCCTGCTGGCCAGAAGAGGGCGCCAGATCTCATTACAGATGGTTGTAAGCCACCATGTGGTTGCTGGGAATTGAACTCAGGACCTTTGGAAGAGCAGGCACTGCTCTTAACCTCTGAGCCATCTCTCCAGCCCCGTGATATTTTATTTGTATTTTAATAAATGAAGCTTGCCTGAAGACCAGAACACAAAACAGCCACACAGGCCAGGCAGTGGTGGCACACACCTATAATCCCAGCACTAGAGAGGAACATAAAGAGGGATGAGACAGGAACTCGCTCTCTTCCAGTCTGAAGATTTCACGGAGGTAAGAGCTCTCTAGTGGATTGGCTGCTTTTCTGATCTCCAGCTTGAACCCTAGTATCTGTCTCTAGGTTTTTATTATTCGTGCTACTCTCACTCACACCCAGGCAAGGGCACTGGCACACATGTAGGTAACACACAAAGGTAGAGAAGGCTCTTGAAGAATGACGCCTGGCATTGTGTTCTGGCCTATGCACCTGTACTCCCTCCCACACACTATCTGGCTGAATCTGGTCCTGAACTCCTCTGGGTTCGGGTAACCCTCCTATCTTAGTTTTCTGAGTAGTTGGGACCACACATACCACCACCATACCCAGCTCTCGATAACACTTAATTGTTGCTTTTCACCAGGATGCTAATACAATGACCTTAAGCTCCTGAAAAGATGGTGAAGTTTTAGTACGGGCAAGTAAGAATAACAGGAATTACGGAGGCCGTACAGTAGAGCGAAAGTTCTCTAGCATCTCCTCTAGCCACTGGTCCTAAGGCCAGGGGACCAAGAGGTCTTTCCCACTTCATTCCGGTTTCAGGACGATTCCTGCACAGGGCCAATGCCAGATCAACTGCTGTGTGGCTGTTTGTAATCTAGATTTCAAAAGATTGGCTGGTGGGGCTCTGCTCCCCTCACTGTGGGTAAAGTAGTCTGTGCCTCAGTTCCCAGTCACATAAACGGGTTACAGGAAATGCAGCTGCCTTGATTTGTGTTTGCAGTGCTGGGGATGCACCAGGGCCTCGTGCTGCCAGCCAAATGCTCTACCACTCTGATTACCGCTAGCATAAAAGCCAGATAAAGGTATCCCTCGGTCTTCTGACTGGCCCTGGGTATGTCTTTGGGTGTCAACTGCTGACCCCCACTCATGGCAACTGTGACAGTGTCATCAAGGTTAGCCATCTCATGACCTGTTGACCTTGCCCTGTCTAAATAATAAAACCCACCTGTCGACAGTGCAGTTCCCTGCTAGAGGCCACCAAGCAGCCACTACTTGACTCCACCATCTGTGTGCCTTCATGAGAGAAAAGGGACCCTCTTGGTTCCTGATGTCCTAAACTATCATGCGTATGTATATTTGTGGGTGGAATTTTTTGTTGTTTTTGTTTATTGTGCACCTGAGTATTTTGTAGGGAAATACCGTGAATGGTAATGAGAAAAATATGCATTTCCCCCTTCAAACTAAAAACTTAAGTCTACCATTTCTTGATTGCACTGAAAAAATAACTACCTAGACTTGTGGTTTTCCCATTGCTAGCCCATCCTCCACCAAGTCCTTGCTCTTCCACACCTCTCTCCTGGTTCCTCTCCCTGGATTCTCAGTTTTAAGGAACCCAGGATCTGTCTCCCTTCCCCCTAGTGTGAGAGGCCACCATTCCCCACACTGACTGGTCTAGCAAAGTTCCAGTGGGACCTTGAAACCGATGAGTGTAACACGACTAATAAAAAGCCCAGAGACAGCCTGGCGGTGGTGGTGCACGCCTTTAATCCCAGCACTCGGGAGGCAGAGGCAGGTGGATCTATGTGAGTTCGAGACCAGCCTGGTCTACAAGAGCTAGTTCCAGGGTAGGCTCCAAAACCACAGAGAAACCCTGTCTCGAAAAACCAAAAAAAAAGCCCAGAGACAGATACAGGGGTTCAAGCTGAAAGATCAGAGAAGCAAAGCAGCCAACCACTAAAGAGCTCTTACCTCTGTGAAATCTTTAGACTGGAAGAGAGCGAGTTCCTGTCTCATCCCGCCTTATAGTCCTCTCTAGTGCTGGGATTAAAGGCATGTGCCACCACGGCCCAGCCTCTATGACTAACTAGTGTGGCTGCTGGGATTATAGGTGTGTGCCACCATCCTGGCTTGTATGACTGACTGGTGTGGCTACCTTTGCACTTTGATCTTAAGACAAGGTTTATTTATTAGATTATAAGCAAAATATCACCACAGGTAAGGCTGGGACATGGAGATTTTGAGAGGATGTTATAATTCCAGTATAGCTAATAGTTGGTTGCAGACTTTTTTCAAAAAGTAAATGAATTTTCCATGATTAAATATCATAAAATTTATGACAGAATATAAGATGTTAACATATTTTAAGTCAATAAATAAGGTAAAATCCAGTTTCCAGGCATTGAGGGATGGTTCAGTTGATAAAGTGCTTGCCTTGTAACCATGAAGACATGAGTTCAGTCCCCACACCCATATAAATGCTAGGTATGGTGACACGTGCTTGTATTCCCAGTAGTGGAGTGGAGGAGCAGAGACAGGTCCATTACTGGAGCTTTTGGCCAGCCAGCCTAGCCTTCTAGGTAAGTTCCAGGTGAGTGAGAGACTCTCTAAAGCAAGGGACAAAACCTGTCTTAGCTACTGTTCTGTTGCTGTGGGAGACACCATCACCAAGGCAACTTAGAGAGCACTTGATTGGGGGCTTGCTTACAGTTTCAACGGGTGACTTCAAGACCATCAGGGTGAGGGTGTAGCAGTAGCTGAGAGCTTACATCTTCCACATGTAGCAGGCCCAGAGGAGGTGGCAGGGAGAGGAGAGAGAAAGACTGAAACTAGACCTGCTGCGGGCTTTTGAAATCTCCAACAAGACCACACCTCCTAATCCTTACCAAAACGGTTTTGTCACCTAACCAGTGCACAAAGGCAGAAGTAGTTTACTTTTGAGTTCAAGGCCAGCCTGGTCTACAGAGTGAGTTCTAGTACCTCCAGGAGCTACGTAGAGAAACCTTGTCTTGAAAAAACAAAACAAACTAATCTTCTCTCTTTTCTGTGCTGAGTATGAACCCAGGCCTGCCCATACCAAGCAAGCTGCTGTTTGTGAGCAATCTCAGGCAACCAGACAAAGCTATTTATTTTTGTCTTTTGTGGCGGAGAAACATAAGGAATTCCTGAGCCCACAGCGCTGGTTGGAGAGCATGGGCAGTGGTGTGGACAGAGGATGGACACGTGCAGGGTCTTAGTGAGGGCGCTGCTCCGCAGATGCACAGCAGCCGAGCAGAAGGAAGGGCTGGAGGGCTGGGGCATGGCTTAGCAGTAGAACACTTGGCTAGCATACCTCAGGTCCCCAGTTCCATCCTGTCCCTATAGTACGTTCACGTTCATGCAATAGGTGTAGTGCGTGTGCCTCTGTGTAGAGGTCAGTGTCGGGTGTTTCCTCAGTCACTCTTTGCTTTGAGTCAGGGTCTCACCAAATGGGCCAACAAGATCCAGGGATTTGTCTTTCTCTGACGCTACAAAGTAGGGACTACAGTCTTAGGCCACCATTCCTGGCTCTTTTTTTTTTTTTTTTTTTTTAGACAGGGTTTCCCTATAGCTTTGGAGCCTTTGTAGACCAGACTGGTCTCGAACTCTCAGAGATTTGCCTGCCTCTGCCTCCTGAGTGCTGGGATTAAAGGCATGTGCCACCACTGCTTGGCAGACTTTTTTTTTTTTTTAAAGACAGGGTTTCTCTGTCTGTACAGCCCTAACTGTCCTGGAACTAGTTTTTATAGATCAGGTTGGCCTCGAACTCACAGAGATTTGCCTACCCTCCTGAGTGCTAGGGTTAAAGGTGTGTGCCACCACCACCCAACTCTGTTCCTGGCTCTTACATGCATATTGTAGATCTAACTCAGGTTCTCATACTTGAATTGTGTAGCAAGTCTGACTGAATTCCAGAAAGAAAATATTCCGGTTTGGTTTTTCTATTTTGTTGTAGGAAGAAGCCCAGTATGCAGTAGGTGCTCTATAAATGTCCAAAGGACTCTTATAACAAGCGTTCTTTTGGAACACTAACCAGCTCCCAAGTCATGACACAGAAACTTGTTATTAGTTATGAATGTTCAGCCTTATCTTGGCTCTTGTTTTAATCTGATTCTCTTTATCTACATTTTGCCTGAGGGCTTTTTAACCTTCTTCTTTCTGTGTATCTTACTTCCCTGTTTCCTGTGGCTGCCTGGCTGGTGGCTGCCTGGCTTCTGACCCAGGTGTCTCCCTTTCTTTCTCCCTTATTCCTTGAACCTAGACTTCTCCTCCTCCTCATTCTCTCTGCCCACCAACCCCGCCTATCTACTGCCTAACTATTGGCCATTCAGTTATGTTTTTTATTAGAACAGTCAGGAGCCTTAGGCAGGCAAGGTGAAACAGCAACCTGTCTTTACTTAATTAAACAACTGCCATTGGGTTTTTATTGTTGTTGTTGTTTGTTTGTTTGAAAAATGGTCTCATGTAATCCAGGCTGGCCTCAAACTCTCAATCCTTCTATCTTAGTCTCGCAAGTGCTAGAACTAAAGGCATGCACCGCCACCTGACTTCTGTGTGCTCAGCGCTTTAGACTACTGAACACTAGTGCTGACTTGTACATTCCTCTAGTCAAAACAGGAAGAAAGAGAAGGACAAGCTCAGCTTGTGTGTGGCTCAGTCATAGGGGAACAGGTATAAAAAGCCGAATGATCCTGTTCTGTCCTGTAGCGCCCGTGCCACTACAAGACAGTACGGTACGTGAGCCAGGAACTAAGCTGGAGACTTAAAAACACAGAGACACAGACAAAGCCAAGGACATGGGTCATTCTTGATATGAGAATGCCTAGAATGCCCAGTTTATGTGCTCAGGGGAAGCTTATATAGGGATCCTTAGCCACGCCCAGCTCTCGGGATCTTTCAGCTGTGGGTCTCATCAGCCTGCCATCAAGGTCTCAGAGCAGCTGCAGGCAAAGAAAGTCAAGGGGCCAGGGCTCTATAGTTCCCAACATACAGGAGATGACCTGACGCCTTCCAGAGGCTAGCAGAAGTACTGTCACTGTCAAGTGAAAAGGAAAGCCATGGGTAAAAACGGGAGGGTGGTAGGGACCTCAGACATGGTTCCACCATTTGAACTGAGACCTGCCTCACTTCTCCCAGAGGAGAGGGGTCTTGGTCCCACTTGTCCCATGTGGTTTGGAGCCAAGGTGCTTCAAGATGTAATCTCAGGAGCCGGAGGATGCTCTATTCTTTCATAGGACCTGAGCTCAGTTCCCATCTCCCACATGAGACTCACAACTGTCTGTAATTTCAGTTGCAGAAGCTCTGATGCCCTCTTTGGCCCCTGTAGGTTCCACATATGGACATGAAACACAGACATACATGCAGATGAAATACCCATATACATAAAATAAAATTTTAAAAATAATGTAAATAACAGATTCTATAACAGTCATGGCCAAATTAATAGATTAAAGCTGAGGTGATGGTTCAGTGGTGAGGTGGCACACTTGTAATCCCAGCACTGGGGAGGCAGAGGCAGAGTGTTCCCTGGGCCTAGCCGTTGTCTCAAACAATAAACTGAGTGACTCCAGGAAATTACACTATATGTTCACCCCTGGCCCCCATGCACATGCACATGCACAGACAGGTACATTTGCACATGGACACATAAAGCTCTTGAATCAGCTTCCAAAATGCAGACTACCTATCATTCCTGCATTTTGGAAGCTGGGGCAGCAGAACAGAGAGTTAGTTCATGGACAGCCTGGGATACAGGTAAGATCCTGTCTCACCGGAAAAAAAAAGAATCTAATTGTATGACCACATGAGAGAATGGGTCCTGGGTCTTGAATGGGGCTCCCTCCCATCTCCCCATCACCAGGTTAGCACCAAAACTGGCCTTCCTGCCCTCAACACGGACCCACTCACCTATAGTCTAACTGTGGCCCTCCTGTGCTAAACTGACAACCGTGCTATGCCTGATCTGCATCCCTGCCCCTCACTTCCCTCTCCAAACCAGGGGACAGCCTCCCTTCCTCAAAACCATCTAAGAACCCACGGCTGAAAGACCCCCAGGGAAGTCCCCAGAGCTCCATGCTGATGCAGTCACACCATTCCAGAGAGTCGGAAGACAGCCCAGAACCTGCTGCCTCTGTAGAGCCAAGTGGGGAGGAATCACAACCCACAGCTTCCAGGTAGGTGGCGCAGAACTGGCCCAGCTCGGTTACAGTTAACACCGATCCAGGCTGGGAGGAAGCTCAGTTGGAAAGGCACTTCTTTTCACAAGCACGAAGACCGGAGTTCCACCTCCAGAACCCATGTGAAAACATCTCAGCATGGTACTGAGGAGGGAGGACAGGTGGACCCCTGGGGCTCACTGTCCAGCCAGTATAGCCTAATTGGTGAGTTTCAGACCTGAGGTTGACCTCTGGGTGCATGCATGTTCATGCACACGCATAAAAACAGGCCAGTTATGACGACACACACCTTTAATCCCAGCACATGGGAAGCAGAGGCAGGTAGATACCTATTAGTTTGAGGCCAGCCTGGGTTACATAATGAGACCGCATTTCCAAAAGAAACGAAGAGATGAAGAAGGGAAGGAAGGAAAGGAAGGAAGGAAGGAAAGAAGGAGAGAGAAAAGTGGAATTAGGAGGAGCAAAATGACTGGTAACTGATGTCTTTGAGGAAGACAGTGTGGGCTAGGTGACCACATTTACTGAGTTAAGAATATTGAGGCTGAATTAAAAATATTGAGGCTTGGAGCTGGAGAGATGGCTCAGTGGTTAAGAGCCCTGACTGTTTCAGAGCACCCGAGTTCAATTCCCAGCACCCACATAGCAGCTAGCAACTGTCTATACCTCCAAGCTCTTACATAGACATACATGCAGGCAAAACGCCAATGCAAAAAAAAAAAAATAAATAAAAGTAAAATAAAAAAAAAATATTGAGGCTTGTGCTCAGCCCAGTATAAGTTCTCCATGTATGTCTGTCTGATTTCAGGTCACAGCAGACTTGCTAACAGTGGCACCATGAAGCCACAGGTGTTGGCTCTGCAGACTTGTGTGAGCCACACATCACCTAATCCTCCCTCCCAGAAGGTCACAGAGATTTAATCCTCTGCTAAGCCAGTGGGGATACACTGCTGTGAGGCCTCCCAGTCTACAAACATAGGGGAAGGGACAAGAATTCTATCCATCTTGTGTTATTTTTTTTTAATGTTCACTAAGAAATAGCACCTATGGGGCTGAATAGATGGCTCAGTGATTAAGAGCACAGGCCTTCCAGAGGTCTTGAGTTCAATTCTCAGCAACCACATGGTGGCTCAAAACCATCTATAGTGGGATCTGATGCCCTCTCTGCGATAACAGTGTACATGCAGAAAGAACACTCATATACATAAAAAAATAAATCTCTCTTTAAAAAAAGAAGAAATACCACATATAGAGAAAAAGACAAAAAGAAAACCAATATAAAACAAACAGCAAAATGTGGAGAAAAATCTTGCTGGTGCTCCAGAAGCCACACAAATGACCTCAGTGGGACAATGAGGACTACTGAGAACTCAAGAACAATGGCAATGGGTTTTTTTTTTTTTTTTGAGACAGGGTTTCTCTGTGGCTTTGGAGCCTGTCCTGGAACTAGCTCTGTAGACCAGGCTGGTCTCGAACTCACAAAGATCCGCCTGCCTCTGCCTCCCGAGTGCTGGGATTAAAGGCGTGCGCCACCATCGCCCGGCGGCAATGGGTTTTTGATCCTACTGCACGTACTGGCTTTGGGGGAGCCTAGGCAGTTTGGATGCTCACCTTACTAAACCTGGATGGAGGTGGGCGGTCCTTGGACTTCCCACAGGTCAGGCAACCCTGATTGCTGATGAGGGAGAGGGACTTGATGGGGGAGGGGGAGGGAAATGGGAGGCGGTGGCGGGGAGGAGGCAGAAATCCTTAATAAATAAATAAATTAAAAAAAAAAAACAAATGACCTCAGTGTAAAACTTGTTATTCCCTCTGCAGTGCTGGGATGGAATCCAGCCTCTTATCCGTGTTCTACCGAGCTACCCCAGCACCTAAAAATATTTTTAAAAATATTTGTTTTGAAGCCAGGCGGTGGTGGCGCACACCTTTAATCCCAGCACTTGGGAGGCAGAGACAGGTGGATCTCTGTGAGTTTGAGGCCAGCCTGGTCTACAAGAGCTAGTTCCAGGGCAGGCTCCAAAGCCACGGAGAAAGCCTGTCTCAAAAAACCAAAAAGAAAAAAAAAATGTTTTGAGACACAGTCTTACTGAGCAGCCCTGGTTGGCCTGGAACTTGATCTGTAGACTAGATTGACTTTGAACTCAAAGAGATCTGCCTGCTTCTGCTTTCTGAGTGCTGGGATTATAGATGTGTACCACCATGCCTGGTTAGAATTCTCTGTTTTCTTTTTCTTCCCTTTCTCTTTCCTTTCTTGGTGTGTGTGGATGGGAGCTGACTTGCAGCACATCATCTGTGTGACTGTCAGAGGATGTCCAGGACAACCTATGGTGTCAGTTCTGACTTTCCACTTGTTTGAGACAGTGTCTGTTGTTCTGCTGTGGACAGGCCAGCTGCCTTGTCACAGGGTGCTGGAATTACAGTTCTTGTACTACTCCCTTAGCTTTTACATAGGCCTGCTTGTGTGGCAAGGGCTTTTATCCATGGAGCTACCGTTCAGATTCTTTTTTTTCTGTTTTTTTTTTCTTTTTTGTTTTGTTTTGTTTTTTGTTTGTTGTTTGTTTTGAGACATGGTTTCTCTGTGTAACAATCCTAACTGTCCTGGAACTTAATTTGTAGACCAGGATGGCCTCAAACTCACAGAGATCGCCTGTTTCTGCCTCTGCCTCCTGAGTGCTGGGATTAAAAACATGTGCCACCAGGCCTGGCCCAGATTCTTATTTTATTGCCAAGTAATACTGCACTCTGTAAATTTCACCCTTTCAAAGCAGACGATCTGGGCACCTGCCTAGCAGGCGCCAGGCTCTGGGTTCCATCCTCAGCCCTGTGTAGGGGAAATGGAACTGATGTATTTTTAAACCCTAAGAAGCAATTTCCAGGCCCTCCCTGGAAGATTCAGAATTACTTTTCGTTTAGGTTCTCACCTCCCTTTGTTCTTGAGAAAGTAAGTGTGTAGGGATATGTTGTGGTATATGTATTTGTGCCTGTGTGTGTATAAGTGTGTCTGTGTGTGAGCATGTTTTGGGGATAGAACCCATAGCCTCTCATACTATGTGAGCTATGCTGAACTGCTGGAGCTGCACCCATCACATTGTCTTGGTATGTAAGTAACATCTAGAAGGACTTCTCTGTTTTCCCTCTTCTCACCCAGCTGCCTTGTGGAGGACACAAGAGCTGCCTCTGACCTCCTGGAGTCACCAGAAGAGCTGACCCCCCTGCCTCCTTCCCAGGTGAGCCTCCTCTTGTAAGGTCTATATCCTGTCTGCGGCCAGCAGCTCTTCACTGCCCACAGGGATGCAGGGACATCCTTGTGTGAGACTACAAGAAAAGAAATCAAAGCAAGGCATGGTGGTGCATACCTTTAACTACAGAACTTGGGAAACAGAGGTGGGTAAACCTCTGAGTCCAAGGTCAACCTGGACCATATAGTAAATTCTAGACTAGCTTAGGCTATAGAATAAAGCCTTGTCTCAAAAAACAAGATAAGCTGGGGCTGGAGAATGGCTCAGCAGTTAAGAGCACTGATTGCTCTTCAGAGAATCCGGGTTCAGTTCCCAGTACCCACATGGTAGCTAACAACTGTCTATAACTCCAAGATCTAACACCCACACACAGACATACATGCAGTCAAAACACCAATAATTATTTTAAAAAAAGAAAAAGAAACAAGGTGAGGGGTTTGGGGATGTAGGGTAAGAGGAGGAACAGTTGGAGATGTAGCTCAGTTGGTACAATGCTTGCCCTAGAGTGCATGAAGACCTGGGTTTATCCCCAGTGTTACATAAAACAGGCATGATGTCCGTGATTCTAGCACTCGAGAGGAGAGGACAGGAGGACTAGGAATTGAAAATCAGCCTCAGCTATATATCAAGATCAAGGCCAGCCTAAGTTATGTGAAATCTTATCTCTGACAAAGAAGCAAAAAATATCAAATGGAAAAAAAAGGAAGCATATTTAACAAGTGGTGCTGGCATAACTGGATATCAACATGTAGAAGAATGAAAATAGACCCATATCTATCACCATGCACAAAACTCAAGTCCAAATGGATCAAAGACCTCAACATAAAGCCAGTCATACTGAACCTTATAGAAGAGAAAGTGGGAAGTACTCTGGAACGCATTGACACAGGGAACCATTTCCTAAATAGAACCCCAGCAGCACAGACACTGAGAGAAACAATTAATAATTGGGACCTCCTGAAACTGAAAAGGTTCTGTAAAGCAAAGGACATGGTCAACAAGACAAAATGACAGCCTGCAGAATGGGAAAAGATCTTCAGTAACCCCACATCAGAGAGAGGTCTGATCTTCAAAGTATACGGAGAACATAAGAAATTGGACACCAAAAGAACACATAATCCAATTAAAAAAAAATGGAATACAGACCTAAACAGAGAACTCTCAACAGAGGAATCTAAAATGGCTGAAAGACACTTAAGGAAATGTTCAACATCCTTTGTCATAGAGAAATGCAAATCAAAACAACTCTTAAGATTCCATCTTATACCTGTAAGAATGGCCAAGATCAAAAACACTGATGACAACTTATGCTGGAGAGGTTGTGGGGAAAAGGGAACACTCCTGCATTGCTGTTGGGAATGCAAGCTGGTACAACCCCTTTGGATGTCAGTGTGGTGATTTATCAGAAAATTAGGAAACACTCTTCCTCAAGACCCAATAATATACCCAATATTGTGCCACAAGGACATGTGCTCAACTATGTTCATAGCAGCATTGTTTGTCATAGCCAGAACCTGGAAACAACCTAAATGCCCCTCGACCGAAGAATGGATAAGGAAAATGTGGTACATTTACCCAACGGAGTACTACACAACAGAAAAAAATAACAGCATCTTAAATTTTTCAGGAAAATGAATGGAGCTAGAAAACATCATTTTGAGTGAGGTAACCCAGACACAGAAAGACAATTATCACATGTACTCACTCATAGGTGGTTTTTAAACATAAAACAAAGAAAGCCAGCCTACAAACCACAATCCCAGAGAACTTAGACAACAATGAGAATACTAAGAGAGACTTACATAGATCTAATCTGCATGGGAAGTAGAAAGTAGAAAAAGACAAGGTCTCTTGAGTAAATTGAGAGCATGGGGACCTTGGGGGAGGGTTGAAGGGGGGAGGGAAGAGGCAGGAAGGGGAGCAGAGAAAAATGGAGAGCTCAATAAATATCAATTAAAAAAATGGTCAGCTGGGCCGGGCGGTGGTGGCGCACGCCTTTAATCCCAGCACTCGGGAGGCAGAGGCAGGCGGATCTCTGTGAGTTCGAGACCAGCCTGGTCTACAAGAGCTAGTTCCAGGACAGGCTCCAAAACCACAGAGAAACCCTGTCTCGAAAAACCAAAAAAAAAAAAAAATGGTCAGCTGGGCAGTGGTGGCACACGCCTTTAATCCCAGCACTCGGATGGCAGAGGCAGGAGGATCTCTGTGAGTTCGAGGCCAGCCTGGTCTACAAGAGCTAGTTCTAGGACAGGCTCCAAAGCAAAAAAAAAAAAAAGTCAAAGAAAGAAATAAAAGTAATAATAAAAAGGAATCTTATCTCAAAAACCAAAATTCCAGTGGGGGCACAACTTAAAATAAGGAGTAGCTTATAAGGGCAATGTGATACACACCTTTAGTCCTAGCTCTCAGGAAGCAGAGGCAGCCTGCTTTACACACTGAGTTCCAGGATAGCCAGGGCTACGTAGAAGAACTTGTCTCAAAAAAGAAAAAAAAAGGGGCTGGAGAGATGGCTCAGTGGTGAAGAGCACTGACTGCTCTTCCAGGGGTCCTGAGTTCAATTCCCAGCAACTACATGGTGGCTCACAGCCATCTGTAATGAGATCTGGTGCCCTCTTCTGGCATGTAAGCATACATGGAAGAAATGTTGTATACATAATAAATAAGAAAACAAATAAATAGTACGGGTTTAAGGGTTGGTCTGTAACTGAGTAATAGAGCACTTCCTAGGATGCAGGGGTTTAATCCTCAATACTGAAAGAAAAAAACGGGGGGGTATGTTGGGGCTGCTGTTCCTAAGACCCCATTCTCCCACACTGCTGCTTTATTCTTGTGTCTCTTTACAGAACTCAGGTGGAAGGTTTGTCCCCCAGTTTGCCAAACCAAAGAAGACAAGAAGAAAAGCCAAGGCGTGGGAAGAGGTTCCAGAGAGCGACACCGGAAGCCAGGTAAGAGCCTCCCTTCCCTTAGTCGGCTGCTCCTGCTGATTAACCGTGGTCTTCCTTGATGCTGCCCCTGACTTGGCAGTCACACTCAGGCTCCTGGTATGCACTGTGTGCTAAGCAGCACATCTGAGACCACTCTGTACCATGGCTCAGTTTACATGGAGATAGTCAAATTCAGAAAGGTAGTATATTTTTCCTGACAGCTTCCTCTGCTTCTTGGGGGCTTCTGTACAAGTCAGGAACATTTAAAAATGTGGGGGCTGGAGAGATGGCTCAGCAGTTAGAAGCACTAGCTGCTCTTCCAGAGACTCCAGAGTTGGAGTTGCAGGCAGTTGTGAGCCCCCTGAAATGGGTGCTGAGAATCCAAGTCAGGTCCTCTGCAAGGATACTATACACTCTTAAATGCTTGGCCATCTCTCCAGCCCTCAAGAGTCTTAGGATTGCCCTTGCCATCATGAATCCTGGGGTTGACAATGTTGCTGATGCCACATGCCCCTGGAGGAGAGTACACAGTGGCCTTTGCTGCAGCAGTGTTTGTAATAGTCCCCGACTGGAAACATGCTGGGTAACGGTCAGTGGGTGAACATTAGGGATGGGGATGGCTCAGTGGTAGAGCACTTGAGTAGGCAGTACACAAATGTCAATAGATCGCACAGAACCCTGGGTCGTCCATTCTCAACACTGCTTAAACTGTAGAAATGGGAGGATCAGAAGTTCAAGGCTATCCTGGGCTATCCTGAGCTATGTACCCTTTTGAGATCAGATTGGGCTTCATAAGAACTAGTCTTGGGAGGGGTCGGGAATTTGGGGGGTTGGGATTGTAGAGTTAAGGCAAACAGGTGGTTGACAGGTAGGAAAGGCAGAGTGGATAGCATGTGGGAGAGGTGGAATGCAGCTATTTTTTTAATTAGTTTTGTTTTATTTCTTTTTGTTTTTTGAGACAAGGTTTCCTCTGTGTAGCTCTGCCTTCCTGGAACTTGCTCTGTAGACCAGGCTGGCCTTGAACTCACAGAAATCCACCTGCTTCTGCCTTCTGAGAGCTGGTATTAAAGACATGTGCCACCACCACCTGGTTTAGAGTGTAGATTTTTTTTTTTTTAAGAACAAGCAAATGAACCTGGGAAGTGGTGACACACGCCTTGAATCCCAATTCAATTTGGGAATTACCGAAAACAAAATAAGAAACTCCCAGTACTTGGGAGCCAGAGACAGGTAGATCTTTATGAGTTCCAGGACAGCCAGGGCTACAAAGAGAAACCCTGTCTCCAAAAAACAAACAAATGACAAAAAACAAAAACAAACAAACAAACAAAAAACCAGCCATAGTTGGGCACATTGATGCATACTGGTAATTGCAGACCCAGGTGTCTGAGGCAGGAAAATTTCGAGTTCAAGGCCAGACTTTACTACATAATGACAGCCTATCTTTTCTTTCTTTTTTTTTTTTTTTTTTTTTGAGACAGGGTAGTCTCAGGATAGACATAGACCTGACTGTGTCTATCGTCAACAACAAAAAGTGCAGCTTATGGGCAGGCAAGATGGCTCAGCCTGTAACAGTGTTGGGAGACGGAAGCAAGTGTCTGAGTTTGCACCAGCTTGGTCTATGAAGCGAGTGCCAAGCCAGTCAGGCTGCACAGGGAGACTTAGTTTCAAAACCAGTATACGCAACAAGCGCAGCCTGAGTAGCAGGTCACTGTTGCCACAGCTGCTTAGCTTCCTCATCATGGTGGCACTTTCTGGAGGGAGAGATTCTTAGACAGGTGACATGGAGCCAAGATTGGCTCCTAAACTTCTGATTCTCCTACCTCTGCCTAGCAAGTGCTGGATTACAGATGTGTGTCACACCGCTGGAAGGTAGGTCTTCCCCAAGCTCACATCACCCCATCATGACATTGTACTAGAGCAACTCAGGGTGTCAGCATTGGAAGACGTGAGTAAAAGGCACAGGGAACTTTCTGCAGCAGTTTTTACAACATGATTGCAGTGACCTCACAGGAGAAAAGCACCTACTTCACCATCATCATCATTGAGCTCTCGAGACAGAATCTCACTATGTGGTCCAGAACAGCCTCAGACTCTGAACCCCTCCTCAGCCTCTCAATGTGATGATGTACCGTGTGCCACCAAGTCCAGCCCAACCCCAGCTTCTTTGTAATGGCGTTTTTATTACCTGTGTGCATATGTATGTATAGGAGTGTGGGTGTTCGTCAGCCACGTGTGAATGTGAGGGTAAGAAGTCAACTTTGTGAAGTCTGTTTTCTCCTCCATGCCGTGACAGAAAGTGCCACTCTACCCACCGGGCCTTCTCACTGGCTCTGGTGTATCTTATTTAAGTTGATAAGAGGCTGGTGTGATGGATCAGCAGGCCAGGTCACTTGTCACCAGATGTGACAACCTTAGGACCCTCGTAGAGAGCAGAGTGAACCGGCTTCCACAAGTCGTCCTCTGGTCTCCATTTGTACATTGTGGCAAGTGTGTGCATACACACATATAATGTAATAAGCTGATGTGTCTGGAAGCAGAGCCTTTAAACCCTTCATTAATCTCTGGGGTGAGGGTAGAACTCAGAGCCTTGTGTAACTAGGCAAGTGCTTGCTGTACCTAGTGGTGGGTCCAACCATCTTATCCTGAGGACAGGGCTAGTATCAACTAGAGAATTCTTCAGAGTGCTTGATTATCTGAGGCGGGGACTGAGTCTTCTTATTTCCACAGGAAACACGGCCAGAGCTGGGTACCCTCCAGGCAGGAAGCCAGCCAAAGGAGGAGTCCCTGAGGTTCCCTCTCCACGATGCCCAGAGGCCAGAAGACCAGACATGGGCAGATGGTGCCTGCCCAGAGGAGAGGACCATCTCACCAGATGCTGGAAGCCTAGGGAACAATGACTTTGAGATGCAGAGGGCCAGGGTTCAAGACAGTACTAGCCAGGAAAGGCACCTGTCAGATGGTGATGCCAAAGGGGGAGAGGCAGATGGCAGAGCCCCACAGGAAGGAGGTGCCCAAGGAGGGGAACCCCAGGAAGAAGGCATCCTCTACATTTCAGCACCAGCTCCTGCCTCAGACCCCATTGTACCTGTCCCCATGCACATACTCAGCAGCATAGAAGCAGCACCAAACTGCAGCAGCCTAGCAGATGTCTCTCTTACGGACAATGTCATCACAGCTGTGAGCTTAGATCCCTCTGTGCTGCAACAGAGGGCTCCAGAGGTGGCTGGGCTGCCAGGCTCTCCAGATGGACAGACCCCTGGTGGAGACTGCACTGGGACTCTGCTGGGCTACACACCTCTTGCTGAGGAGACCACAGCAGGCAGAGAGCAGGTCAGGCTGAAAGAGGGGTCCCCTGGTGACATCCTGGCAAGCCTCACTGAGACTGAAGTTCTCGAGAAAGAAGAGCCCATGGTGGATGCTGGAGATCCAGGCCATATAGAACAGGAAATGGGTCCCGCTGTCAAGACCAAGGACCCTGACTCTGATGGACAGTTGCCAGGAGGGATAGGAATGCTGCCTTTACAGGCCCAGCCCATGAACCAAAAGGTAGTGGAGTCAAGCAGCCTAAACTGTCATCGAGACTTTGAGGGCCTCAGCTTGTCCCCTCATACCTCCTCTCGGCTAGAGCATAGCTATGCAGCTAGTGACCCTCCCCAGAGGAAGGCCTGTCATAGCAGTCCAGAAATTCCCATAGACCTGGCAGGACAGCAGCCATCAGTTCCCAGTTCTAGAGATCAGGCTGCATGGCAGGAGTCCTCAGCAATGGAACTAGACTTCCTGCCCGACAGCCAGATACAAGATGCCCTGGATGCCCCCAATGTGGAGGCCCTACCTGAGCAGGTAAGAGCCTTCCTGTGCTCAACACACACACACACACACACAAACACACCCTACACCCTGGTCAGTGAGGTTCAAAGGCAAGATGGTGCTTATGGCCAGGCGGTGGTGGCGCACGCCTTTAATCCCAGCACTTGGGAGGCAGAGGCAGGCGGATCTCTGTGAGTTCGAGACCAGCCTGGTCTACAAGAGCTAGTTCCAGGACAGGCTCCAAAACCACAGAGAAACCCTGTCTCAAAAAAACCAAAAAAAAAAAAAAAAAAAAAAAAAAAAAAGATGGGGCTTAAGTGTTGACACTTCATTTATGCAGCATAGGCATATGGAGGTGGAGGACACACAGCAGCCTTGAGCACGGTGGAGTCAGGTTTTCCTGAGAGGCATACCTGCTGGCTATCCGTGTGGGCCTGACTTATGTGACTGGGCCCTGCTGTAACTAGAGCCCTCCGCTGTGCTACCCATGCCCAGCATCTGCTCCTGGCTGGCAAGGGGACGTGGGAAACCACTACGAGTCACACTCCTGAACTGGACAGAGCCCTCGCTCCCTTGAGATTGCTGGGAATCTTGGGAATCTTGACAAGATTTTCCTGCAGACTCGTGAGAAATCGTGCTTTGTATTATTGTTCCTAAGGGTCTTGTCCACTCACAGCTGCTCAGAAACAGCCTTCTGTGCCTCTGAGCCAAGGCCAGCCATTCAAGGTCACTTGTCAACCCTTCTTCTTGGGGGAAAAAAAACAGCCCTGCTCTCTGGACCTGACAAAGAGTTGTTTGCCACACCCTGAGACTAGGCAGGGTGTGGTACAGAGGCTGAGGGAGGCCAGGCACCTGCTGGAGTGGAGAAGTCTGTGGTGTGTGTGGTCTGCTGGAGTCTAAAGCTGCTCTGTCTTGGAACAGAGCTTGGTTTTGTCCAGTAGACTATGCGAGTATCCTCCCAAAGAGCCACAACCTCCTGTTGAAGATATTTAGCTAGTCCATGTTAACACTTTGAGAGAAACTTTTCATAAGACATAATCCCACAATGCAAGCAAAGAACTGTATCTAGTGCTCAATGCAAGAAACAGGCAGCCATGCTTCAAGGCTGAGTTCCATCCGAGTACCAAAGGGATGGAGAGAGAGCCTGCCCTCCATCCTTGTTGGGGAACTTGTTGGGCTATACTTCTCAGGACACTGGGCCTGTGGTGTACGCCAACGTGACTTGTCTTAGTACTGTGAGAAGCCAGCGTTCCATCCCACTTCTGTAAAGAAAATCTATCAGGACCAAAGGAATCTGGCATTCAGCTTGCATCAGACAACAGACAGTGCCAGCCTGGGACACCGGGTATTTCTGAACAAGTCAGGGTGACCCAGGCACTGAGCATGCTCCCACTAGAAGGCCATCAGCAGCCCAGCTCAGCTGGAGGGCAGAGGCTCTATCTCCCAACATAGGGACACCTAGAACCAGGAAAGGGTCTCCTGCTGGCCTCACAGCCATTTCCACAGAGGGCATGACTGTAGGTCACTCTGCAGTGACAGTCTCAGCCTTGCACAGTGCTCTCCTACCAGAGATGTGGTGGCTTTTCCTCACAGCTCCAGTGTTGGTCTGAAGCTGGCAAGGTGGCATGGCTGAATGGTATGCGTGGGGCCTAGGGCTCCATCCCTAATACTTCAGGAAAACAGATCTTTTCATCCCTCCTAGGGTTTCATCCCTCCTTGGGCTCCATCCCTAATACTTCAGGAAAACAGATCTTTTCATCCCTCCTAGGGTTTGGGCATCAGCTGGACATATTTGGATGAGGCTTTCAGGGCTTCAAATACCATAGCCCCTTTTTTCAAAGGCAACACCCCCACAGGCATGCTAGAAGTGCGGCCCCTTTTAGAGGGAAACTTCCCCACAGTTGAGCAGTGCAGTAGAATGGGCAAATGTGAACATCCAATTTCATTTCATTTTAGATGGTTTGGCAGGTTGCCCTGGCTGGGCTCAAATGACCTTCCCAGGTCTGTAACCCCAGTCCAGCACTGTCCTCTGATGAATTCCCATGCCAGCCTGTTCCAGACTTTTCCATATAGGACTCTCATGCTTCAGGCAGGTAACAACACCTCCTTTCTGTTTCTGCCACTTGGGTTCCAAGACTATGTCTCTGCAGGCCATGTTGACCTTAGACCTCCAGAGTTACATGTGCCCAGCTCCAGGGTCTTTTTTTTTTTTTTTTTTTTTTTTTCTGAAAGGAGGCAGAGTCTCAGTCTCACAGTAACCACATTCGCACGCCTGGAACCCAGGAGCCTGGAACCCAGGAGGCCCCAAACTCACAGCACCAATCCTGCCCTCACCCTAAGTTTCTAGGATTACAAGTGTGTACCACCATGCCTGGCCATGGTTTTTGTTTTTTTCAAGACAATTCTCACTATGTAGCTGTGGCTGTCCTGGAACTCGCTTTGTAGACCAGGCTGGCATTGAATTCACAAAGATCTGCTTGCCTCTGCCCCCCTCCCCTCCCCCCCATACAGGGGTTAAAGATGTGCGCTACTACACTCAGCTTTGCTCCAGGATCTCTGAGATACCTTGGGACATGTCCACAGGGACTGGGGTAACACTCATCAGTGTATCACGAGATGTATGGCAGCCTGTTGCAGGAACAAGGAAGGAGGGCAGAGCAGCTGTCTGGAGCTCCTCCTGGGCATTGCGCTTCCTCAGGAGCTCAGCTAAAGGGAAGTCTTAGGTCTCCCTCTGCCAGCTTGGGTGATTCACACACTGTCCCTGCTCTTTCCAGGGTTCTCCTGCAGGGAATGTGCCAGGCCTTGGCTGGCCTGTCTCTAGCCCAGATGCCATCGGAGGATCCCCAAAGGTAGTGACCAAAGCTCATCCCAGGTAGGCTTCCCAGTCTTTAATCCAGAATGATAGCTGGGCCTGCTATCTATCCTCTCTCCCCCTCCTTCCCTCCCTCCCTCCCCCCTGTTTTTTGAGACAGGGTTTCTCTGTGTAGCCCTGGTTGTCCCAGAACTCACTTTGTAGATCAGGCTGGCTTCAAACTCACTGAGATGCACCTGCCTCTGCCTCCCACCCAGCTTAAGCCTGTCACTCAACCACCATGTACTATATATCCTGGGAACTCAGGTGGCCCATGGTCCACACTCAAAGAAGTGCCTGTCCTTAGGAGCTGAGTCCCCTGGGGCAGTCCCTCCAGCACCTTAGGGTGGTCCTGAGCTCCATAAACTGGTGTCTAGTCAGGGCTAGGAACTGTGAGTAGAAACAAGTCTGAGGGTGCCCAGCTCTGGCTCTGGGCAGGTACCCTAGGGACTACCCCACCCTTTCTCCTCACTGCCCTGTCTGGCCCTCACAGGCCTTCCCTCTGATTACCTTGCATTTGAACCTGACCATGTCTCTGCAGAGGCTTATCAATGATTTACTGTCAAGGTTCTGTTTCCATCAGGCAATCACAAAAGAGGGCTAGAATGGCACCCTGACCTCCTTGGCCCCTTTCCCTCCTCCAGCCTTCTGCCTGCCACTTGTCAACAGTCCCTCCCCTACGTTTCTCCCTCTCCTTCAGTGTGCCAGAAGCAGGTTGTTACTGCTAAATATCCCAGTCAGTGCTGCTCCAGTGTGGATCCTGGGTCCAGTGGGTGGCCTGGGGCTGAATGAAACTCTAGCCAGCTAAGGGCCCAACAGGCAGCTACCAGCAGGTGCCTGGAGCCTGTATGGCAGAACCGGGATTCGTGAGTATAGGGATTCAGAGGGAGACAGTTGTTAGCCTGAGCTGACAGGGTCCTTAGTCTGCCTGTACATATATATAGGTTGCACATCCCTATGGGAAATGTGGCATGTCCCTTCCAGATTATCTTGAGTGCTAGGAATTATGGGGAGCAAATGGGGTAGCTCATCTGGGTAGTGGTGGCGCACGCCTTCAATCCCAGCACTTTGGAGGCAGAAGCAGGCAGCAGGCGGGTCTCTGTGAATTCAAGGCCAGCCTGGTCTACAGAGCAAGTTTCAGGACAGTCTCCAAAGCAACAGAAACCCTGTCTCGAAAAACCAAAGTGTGTGTGTGGGGGGGAGGGGTCTAAGGAGTTAAAATCTAATGATCAAGTTAACTGGGAAAGAATATTCCAGAATCCTCAGAGGCACTGGGAGAATAGCCAGGTGGTGCCCCATTGGTGAGGAAGGCCATGGCAGCAGCCCAAGCATGGCAGTATGTGGTGGCAGGGTTGGAGGGAGGATGTTCTTGGTGCAGGGAGGGGCAGTTGGAAATGGGTCGGCCATTATAAGCCCCTCAAACCCAGTGAATGGCTGACTCCGGAGCACTCGGGCCATTCCCTTCTTCCTCCTCCCAACAAACAGACCGGCTGCGGGGACCTGGGCCCAAGAGGCCTGCAGGATGCAAGATGCCACAGACACAGTGCGTGGCCTCGTGGTGGAGCTCTCCAGTCTCAAGTAAGGGCAGCTCAAGTCACCAGAGACGATAGGGAACAAAGCAGAAACTGAGGCAGGACTACCGGGGAGGGGGGGAATGGATATCTGGTAGTCCTGCCACATTCCACCACATTTGTGTGGTAGAATTCCTACTGTCACCTCTGACCTGCAGGGCTCAGGCTTTTACGTTCAAAGGGCAGGATGTGCCTGCACCTGTGAGGAGCCACCTGGCAGGTGTGGTTGGGTCGGCCCTGTGCAGCGGGAGCCCCAGCTGGTACTCCTCATTTCCCTTTCTTCTACAGCCGGCTGATTATGAGTACCCACCGGGAACTGGAGGCCTTCAAGCGCAGGAAAACCAAGCCTCTGCCTTACCTGACAAAGGGGTTGGGGAGCCTTGCTAGAGGGGATCAGGGCTGGAGGGACCTGTAGGCTGTTCCAGCCTGGACCCCCCCAAGCTCTCTAGGCCTTTGGGGGTCAGTTTATCTGGGCTCCGTATGCCAGAGGCTGAGACTACCTGAGCTTCAGGACGTCCTCTGACAGCAGGCCCTACCACAGGTGCTCATCCAGCTTCTAGAGCATCCTGAGATGAGATGCAGTTGCTTTTCCGTTTGTTTCGGGAGGCGAGAGGTGCTCTTTGTTCTTTTCCCTGTTTTGTCCATGTTAATTTTGGGAAAGAGGTGAATAAACGGTGCAGTCATAGCCCGTGAGTCCCAGCTGTGTGGTGGAGACATTCCCAGCTCGTATGTTCTGCCCACAGACCACTCTACCGTCTCCTCCACCTGCAGAAGGCTAGGTGTAGGGCTAGCCAGAACACAGGTCAGGGGCTCCCCACAGCTCAGTGTCCCAGGTTTCCAGGAGAATGGCTGTGTACACACTGGTCACATCCAGACACAGGTGGAGGGCACAAAGACAAGGTCCCAGGCAGGGTGAGACCCCAGCCTACTGCTTAGGAACGAGCTCTGATCATCTGCCTTCCCTCACCCTGCCTCTGCACATGACAGTGTCTGGCTGCGTCGAGGGCAGTCATCCTGTTTGCTGAAGTACATGCCTAGGAGGCTCAGGCCTCCCCACTGAGCCTCTTCCTAGGGAACCCTATGAGACAGGCAGGGCATGACTAACCCCACACAGTCCCTCCCGGCTCTGGGCTCAGACTCTGGATGCTGGGTTATGCAAGGAGCTGCTGCTGTCCCAATGCCATTCACAGACCCGAGGCTACTAAGAAGCCCTTTCTTCTCCAGTCACCTTCCTCTTCCCTGGCTCCCAGCCCACCCCAGACCAGGAACAAGGAGGGTCCCGGGAAATCTAATTCCTGTTCTGACCTCAGCCCCAGAACAGGGACTGAGAGTGAAGCCTCAGGCCAGTTAGATGAATGCAGGCAGAGCTCTTCCCAGCACCCCGCAGGACATCTCGCAGTCAAGCCCGTAGCTGCACTTGTACCAGCCTGTTTCCCTCGAGCCCTGTGTGCCTTCAGTGCAAGGGGCCCCTGTTTTGCTTATCAGTATGCAGTGTGGGTAGCTGGGAGTTTACACACCTCACAGCTGCCCTAATGGTGCCTGCTTCTGATTCAGCTCCCCAAGGTGACCCCAAGATTTAAAGAGCAGTTTGTTAGGTGATAGGGAGTGATGATGTGGTCTGTAGAGTGGAGGGGTCCCTGCCAGCCAGATTCACACCAACTTGTCCCCAGACCGGCTCCACTCTTCACCATTTATTGGGTGCTGTTGCAACAGCGCAAGCAGAACTGGGGGGCGGGGAGGGAGGCTGGCGATCTCCAACAAGACTGGCCAGCCTCAGTGCTAAGCAAGGTCCAGTCTCCAGCACGCCTTGGCAAGGGTACCCCATCGCCCTCCCCACTCCAAGCTCCTAGGCCGTAGTGGAGGGACTTCAGGCCGAGGGTGAAGGTCCAGAGGGCTTCCTGCCACTTTTGGAACCTGGAGGTTGAAAGCAGAGGAGAGAAATGTGAAATGAGTGGCTCAGGTGGGTGGGCAGGGTACTCATGGCGGCACTTAGGGCTGCCCGGGCTGCTGCGCCACCTGGTGGCCACACCTGGGATTGTCATCCTGGGACCTAGAGCAAAGCACAGAAATGCCACTCAAGTGGTATCTCAGCCAGGCTGCATGGAACCTTGCATTTCTTATACTCTGAATGCAATTCTCAGCTTGCTGTGGCAGCATGCTAGTGAGGGCACCCTCCAGTACCAGGAAGGTATTCCTGTCCCTTCAGAGTTCTGAAACCACCATCTTCATATAACTCCTCATCGTGAGCTTCTTAGGGCTGAGTCCCTTCAAGATCCCACTGGGAGGGATAGGGCTGTGGAGCCACATGCAGAAGGCCCTGGGTTCCATCTCCACATCAGACCAGTAATATAAAACTCTTAACAGGCAGGCATGGGTTCATGTCTATTCCAGCATAGGGAGGCCGAGGCATATTCAAGTCCATCCTGAGCTACAGAGAGAGACTGTCTCAACAACAACAACAACAAAAACTTCACAGAATGGGATTCTCACCTGCAGATAACCCACCTCTAACCAGAGTTCCACTGCAAGGTTAAGGGAGACACCCCAGTCCACTGCCACCCTCCCGGAGCTCCCAGACTACCCAGGGAGACAAGCACACAGCCAACAACCAAACCATGGTGAAGCAGCCAGCAGAATACCTGAGTGTTCCCACCCACAAACTTTCAGTTTCCCTCAGAGGCCTCAGAGGAAATGAGGCCCGCAGAGCCATTAGACATGCAAGCACCTGCTATCCCAGCACACCACAGGACAGCCTGAGCTACAAAGTGAAGTGCTGTCTCAGAAAGAGCGAGCTAGCTTACCAAAACCCAGCACCTTTGCAGAGGCCCCCATCTGGTTCCCAGCACCCATGTGGTCAGTCACTCACCACCAGCTGCCATTCAGGTTCCAGGGCTTCACATACCTCTTCAGGACTGCTCACAGGTGGTACACAAACATACATGCAGGCAAGACATTCATACTCACGAAATAAAATTATCTGCATCTCAGCTGGGTGGTAGTGGCGCACGCTTTTAATCCCAGCACTCAGAGGCAGAGACAAGCAGATCTCTGTGAGTTGGAACCCACCTGGTCCACAGAGTGTACAGAGTGAGTTCCAAGACAGCCAGGGCTACATAGAGAAATCCTGTCTTGAAAAAAAGAAAGGAAAGAAGAGAGGGAGGGAAGAAAAAGTAAGGAAAGAAAAGAAAGAAATGCCAGGACATCAAGAACTGGGTGCCACACTATATATAGCTAGACCCTTGCCTCTGAAATCCTGGCCCTAGGGTCCATTAGCATGCAAACCATTAAAACTAAACAGGGCCATGGAGAGCTAGTTTTGTAGTTAAGAGTGTTGGCTGCTCTTCCAGAGGACTGGGATTAAATTCCTAGAACCCACATAGTGGCTTCTAACCATCTATAACCAATTCCAGGGGATCCCACAACCTCTTCCGAAGCCCACGGGCAGGCAAACCACGCACACACCTCAATCTTTCAAAACCTTTTGGGTTCAGGTGCTAAGGCCTGGCCTTGGAGGGTGCTGTTCTGCATTTGTTGGGGAGATGGGGAGGCCCCACACTGTAACAGCACAGATCCACTAAGCAAGTTCCTGAGGGGTCCAACTACAGCCTCTCCATCCTGTCCCCCCATTCCCACCCTGCTGGCTTGGAGCAGAGTCTTCAGGTCCATGACAACCATGGGGCTCTGGACCCCTTCTGAGAAGCCTCCTTGCTGTGTTTATGGTGTGGAGGTCAGAGGACACTTGAAGGAAATGTTTTCTCCTACCACACGGATCCCAGACATCAAACTTGGTGCTTCAGCATTACAGGCAACCTTTACCCAGGAGTCTTTATGCTGGCATGGCACCCCAACCTTTTTATGTTTCTGAATGCGGAGCAAACTTGGGGTCTCTTAAACACTATGCATGAGCCCTAACTCCCTTAAGTGCCACCTCAAAGATCCAACTATTTCTAACCCCACAGCACACACTCAGTCAAACGGACTTTATGATAATAGTTTCCAAGAAGCTTGGGCTACACTTCCCACCTCCTACACCAGAAATGAAGGAATTAAGACTCCTACAAGTCACCTTCTCCAGGAAGTCCTTCTGAGTGGGACCCCTTCTTCTGCTCCCTGTTCAGCACTGCCTTAAATGCCACTCTCCTGTCTACCTCATTCACTACTAACCCAGCGCCCAGGGCAGAACAGGCATGAAAGTGTTATTTGGCAAATGAACAAATGATTTCTGAGTTCAGGAAGGGTTTAGCAGCTTCCCCCAATCTTCACAACTCCTGATCCCCAAGTAGAAATCAGAGCTCACCACCACACCCTAGAACATCTGCCTCGGTTGCTCAGAGGGAGAATGACTTCTGTTTTCTTTTTCCAGACAGGGTTTGTCTGCATAGCTTTGCTCTGTAGACCAGGCTGGCCTCGAACTCACAGGGACCCACCTGCCTCTGCCTCCCCAGTGCTGGGATTAAAGGTGTGTGCTGCCACCACCACCTAGCAGGAGAGTGACTTGTTAAAGACCACACAGCAACATGCACCCCACGCTCCTGAGCCATGCTCCACCACACAGTAACACCCCACACTTCTGAGCCATGCTCAATGCCATACAGCAACATACACCCCACATTCCAGAGCCATGCTCCACACCACACAACATGCACCCCACGCTCCTGAGCCATGCTCTATGCCACACTTGCAGAATGCTTTCAGCTCTACACAACTGGCTGCTTAGCTTCCAAGATACTGGCACCACACATACTTAAACACCCTAAAGAGCTGAGAGCCTAGAATGGGTCCCTTCTCCACCCAGTCCCTACACCACCTGCATAGACACCTGCTGCTGTTTCTCCTCCAGGGCGGTGGCCAGCATCCTGTGACTTTGCCTTGTCAGGCCGGGTCAGCTTTTTGCCTGCAGAATTCCGAGTGGTGTAGCAGTAGACAGAAGTGTAGCCCTGGCCGGTGAGTGGGCAGAAGCGTCGAGTGTGGGCATGCTCCTGAGTGGCCCCACACTGGGGACACACATAATCCCTCAAGATGGGACACAGCACCCGGCCGGCCTCATCCTTCAGGACGTGGGATTGGTAGATGGCACGGGACTCGCCATTGTGCTTGCAGAAGGAGCACAGGCGTTCAGGAGCTGCTGAGGATTCCTTGCTGGCCTTCTGGCTTTCTGGGCTTGGCTTGGGCTCTGGCTTGGGCTCCAGCCTGACATCAGGCTCTTCTTCCTCATGCAGAGCCCCAACCAGGCTTGCTAGGCCCAGATAATCTGTCCACAGATTGAAAGTCCCCATGGCTGGGCAGAGGAGCAAATTGAGGGAAATCGCTGCCTGGCTCCCGCTTCTACAGTCCCTGAAGCTCAGGCTTCTCTGGCTGCTTTTCTACCTTGAGGGGATGTGAGTGGGTGGAGCGGGCAGGCTCTGGGGGGGGTCCCTCATTGTCACTGGGGGCTTCTTACATACCTGCCCAGGGGGTATAAGGTGTTTGTGTGGGCTGGAGGTAAACCAGGAGCCACTGAACCCCCAAGGCTTCCCCTCTCTGTGGGAGGTGGCCAGCTAGGTGAAGAGCTGGGGGCTGGCTAAGAACTCTGCCCCAGGGCGAAACACACTGACAGTGGTTTACTAATTTTTTTCCTCTTCCTTCCCCAGGGGTGGAGAAGGGACCAGGTGGCCTTGGAGTTAGCAATCCTAGAATTTAGGAAGGGGCCTGTGCATGGAGGGGGTGGGGCAAGGACTGGGTTCCAGGGCTCTGGCTTCACTAAGAAACTTTTATGCCCACTTCAGTGGCTGGGAACTTAGTCATGAAGTATGAACGACAAACAGAAACAGAAGGAGGACATGACTGCCCCTGCGAGGTGGAGAAGGTTGACTGTAGATAAAAGGGACAAAACAGGCAAAGGCAGAGACATCTGGAGAGTCCAAACGGGACATGACCAGCAGATTGAGCCAGGTCATGTGAGGAGAGGGGGAGGGGAACCTGGAATGGTGGTGGAGGGGGTAAAAAAAAGAGCATGTAACCAAAATGGCTGGGTTATGTAGGAACCAGAAAAGCTGGGGGAAGGGTGGCCCAGCAGAGTCCCTTAACTAGAGAAGTTCAGGGTAGGTGACAGGGTATGCCAGCCAGGAGGACCTTTAACAGGCAGGGACTACAGAGGGACACTGGGAAAACCTGGCAGCCGGAGTCAGCTCTGATATGTTAACAAGCACCTCTGCTGTCTGTCCTTTTACAAAGTGGAGACTTCCTCCTTGAGTTAGCTTAAAGGTCTGGGAGAAACGAAGAAAGGGAAAGAGCCCTCAAGCACAGGAGGGCAGGCCGTACCCCAGCGCATGCGAGCCCTCTGACCCCCAACACTGCTTGCAATGAGAGGAGGCCTCAGCCTGAGCCCCGAAAAGTGAAATGTGTTTGATCCACCCGCCTACCCATCTGTCTGTCACATGCCCCTCTACCAATCCACCCATTCCAGAAGTCTCACTGAGCAAACATCCACCCTTCCAGGAATGGTTTCTGCCCACTGAGTCCCCACTTTATTTCCCAATTTCAATCTGTCCATCAAGATCCCAGATACCAGTCCATCTCCTCAAGGGGAGCAAGTGACAGGCTAAAGAATTTGGGGATACCTAAGGGGTCCTGTCCTCCTCCTCATCCCTGGGACTGTTGTATGGCCCAGCCACAGTGACATTCATCCCCCGGTGGGTCTGGCCTCCTCCTCACAACCCACCGACAACAATGAATGTTGATTGTGACCTTTACTGTGGCCTGAGAGGGGATGCCAGGCTGCCTGGGGCATCTCCCAGATCTAGAAGGGTCAGGATGGTGATGGGGTAGACGGCAGTTCCAGGCCTCGGGGTCCACTCAACGGTCGATGGTTTGTCTGAGCTGCCCAAACTCACCGACAGGTTGAATGTTCCCCCAAACCCTTGGCAAGTTTCTTGGAAAAGTGGAGTGGGCAGAGGCCCAGAGAGGTGATGGAGAAGCCAGCGTCCCCTGGACTCTCATGGAACCAGCCCTCAGTTATTCAGCATCCACTGTCTTTTTGGAGAAGACAGCACAAATATAAATCATAACGTTAAAAACGTGGTCCCTGCAACAGAGGCGACAATGTCTCAGTTCATGTACTTTATTCAAGGGATGCACCCAAAATAGTGCCCCTGACATCTCAACACTGAGGCTTAGAACTGCTGCAGCTCCTGGCCAGCCCCTGCTAAAGAGTGAGATAAAAAGAAAGCCTTCCAAAGCGGTCCTGAGGTGCAGATTCCCCATCTAATTCGTGGGGGGCGGGGCTGAGGCCAAAAGAGCACTGAGGGAGATTACTAGCCACCCTGGAAGTCTGCCGGCCACCAGTTCTGGTCTGAGAGGCGACTGAGCCGTAAACAAGTTCCTTTGAAACAATGTAACTGCTCCTCCACGGGCAGTGAGATAAATAAAGCAGCAATACAATGTAGACCTTTCTACTTTCCCATGGTCCCTAAACTTGTTTCCTCTTGAGCCCACCTCCCGCCCTGCCCTTCGCAGCCCAGCAGTGGGCTCAGAAAGGAAGGCAGCACTGCCCTCTACCCCTCCCCCCCCACGTCCTCCCCACGCCCCCACATACACTCTGGGTCTGAAGGCTTCTAAATGGTCTGAGGACAGGACAAGATTTCTTAGGCCTCTGGCTGGGGGGGTGAAGCATCTGTCCACGTGGGCAAAGGCCCTGGGCCGCATCCCTGGCACTGCTAACCTGAGGTCCTGACACTTGAATGAGGGGTGTGGTTACCCTCAGGGATCTCCTGAGGTCACCAGTTTATGTAGCCCCAGACCACAACCAGACTTGCCCTCAATTCAGGCCTCTGCCAGCGTCCCTAGGACCCTCCTGCAAGCCGGTCCTTTGAGATCTGCCTCCAAACTCAACCACCTGAGGGGTTAGGGCCCACTGTCTATCACCTTAGTGCGCTTCCAGAGCACCCCCAGAAATCCTTTAGAAGCTCAGTTCCTTCTAAGGTCCACCCCAACCCGCAGACCCAAACCAGACCCCCGAAACCAGCGAGGCTCAGGAAGCACTCCCACCTGGTAGTGCCCTGACGCTACTTCCTCAGCCCAGTTCCAGGAGTGGTCACATTCCCACCCCGGAGGCAGGCCCGTGTACCTGGCCAGCAGCCCCCCTTTGAGGCCAGGAGCTAGGGGCAAACCCTGCGTGGGAAAGACGGATCTCCTGCCTTGGATGCTCTCCGCTCTGAGGAGGTACGAGCCTAGATCCATCAGAGGAAGGTGAGCCGCAATCAGTGACTTTGTACCGGTCGCTACTATACCCCTGGGGAAGGGAACGCCGCGAGTTCAGAACAGTTTTTAGGGGGCTTCAGAAAGCTAAAATGGATGTGCAGGCGGCACACAAGACACTCTGAGCAATTCAGGTCATCTCGCAGATACCCCTCTTTTATTTCTGTAAGTGCATTCTGCTTACTCGCCCATCGGAACTCTGGATTTTATCCTTACACAACGGGAGGTGTTTGCTGTGGGAATTCCCAGCAGGACAGCGTGCCTGTGGGAGTCTGGCCTGGGGGAGGGGGCGGAGTCGCCAGGCCCCGCCCCCTCCTGTCTCTTTGTCTGCTGGCGTGGTGCAGGCTTCCCGCCCTGTGTCTGTCTGCGCTTGCTTGCCCTTTGTCAGCGGGGTCGCCTGTCTGGGTCTGACTGTTCCCTTCCTGCGACTGTGTGTCGGTCCCTTCTCTTCCCGGTGCGGTCCGTGAGGTTGTTGGCAGCCATGCCCCCTGGTGTGTGGGGCTCACAGCCCTGCCCTGAGTTCCTGGGCTGGGGGCTGATCGCATACTTCCGGCCACGTGTCTGCGGGCCTAGGGTGCTTGGGCGGGAGGTTTGACTTTGAAGTCCCTTAGGGTGGGGGTGGGAAACTGTCTCCTCCCATTCTCAACCCCAGGTCCTGGTGCCCTGGGCAGCACAGCGAGAGGGTCTGTCTGGGAGTAACCTAGGTGGGCCCTGCCCTTGCCCCTGTATCACTGTGGGCAGCTAGAACGCTGGGCAGCTGGCTCATGTCCTAGAGGTCAGGTTGAGGTGAAATGCCAGTGCCAGCCAGATGGGGCTAGCTCTACCATCAAGGGGCAGGATTAGTGAAGGGTCAGCTATCTGCTGTATAGTGAGTGCTCTTGGGGTCTGCAGTGTTCAGTGTGCAATGCCTGTGTGTAAGTCATGGGGCAAAAGGGAAGAGCAGGTAGAACCTGGAAAACAGAGGGCTCATTATTGGGGTACAGTGACAAGACACATGGGGATCTTTATGGGGTCACCTGGCCCAGGCTGGCTACACCTCCAAATGGCTTCTCAGGTACCCACCCTTCCCACCCAAGCTTCTCCAGGGTCTTTTGAATGGAGGCACTCAGGCAGGAGCTCCTGTGTCTTATCCAGCTTATGGACAGTGGATTTGCCAAAAGCCCAAAATTCCAGATTGGCTGGATGGGAAGCTAGGGCTGTGGGTGAGAGGGGCCTGGCTTCTCCTGGGTTGGGAGCTATGATGAGGGCTCATTGGAGCTCCAGACACTTGTGAAGTTCAAGGTGCAGGGTGGGCTCGGGCCTGCATCAAGGTGGCTGTCCTTACAAACTCACACCTGTTAATGGGTTCCTGGGGAGTTTTCTGCTCTAAGCTTCTCTGGGCTAATGGAGCTCAGTGGGGGGTGGGGTGAGTCTGTGTGCGCGCCATAGTGGGTGGTGCTACGAGTGTGTGGGTGTCAATGTATGTACATCCCTCCTGTGGGTTTGTTTGTGTGTAGATGCCAGCATTATTGTAGGTGGGTGTGTCAAGCTCCAGTTTAATTGCAGGTCGCTGTGTGAGCAGGTGTATGTGGGCGGCTGGGCTTTACTAGAGTAACTGGGTGACTCTAGTCTGTCAGCGACGGCATCCCTCAGGCCCAGCCCCACTAAAGGCAGGGAATTCACTGAGTCATAGGTGTGTCCCCAGAGTCCGTTGCTGCCTGGCACACAGTAGCTAGCTGCTCAGCAAGTGGTATGGACCTGTCTATCACCTCTGTGCTTATAGATAAAAGCCTGAGATCATCTAGTGAGAAACCAGCAAAAAAGAGAAAGGGCTGGGTGTGGTGCTGAACACCTGTATCCCGGCACTCAGGAGGTAGAGGCAGCAGATCTCTGCGAGTTTGAGGCCAGCCTGGCCTCTCTACAGTGAGTTCCAGCTCAGACAGGTTCCGCATAGTGTGACCCTGTCTCAGTAATGACAGCAAATTTTTTTTTCTTCCGTTTTTTTGAGACAAGGTTTCTCTGTTTAACAAACAACACAGGCTGTCCGGAACTTGATCTGTAGACAAGGCTGACCTCAAACTCACGAGATTCGCCTGCCTCTGCCTTCAGAGCGCCGGGATTAAAGGTGTGCGCCACCACCAGTCTTAACAACAAAATATTAAACTGTTGAATATCTGTGGCTCCACCTGTGCGTCCTTTCTCTGTGGGTCTCTCCGTATGCACGTAACCAGCGATGTCTTCA